TGACATGTGGAATCTTGAAATGTTTGCTTTAGACGAGCAGCACAAGCCACATTTATTAAAGTAGTTTCTTTATAAAAGCATCTCTGATCTGAAAAAGTCATAGCTTACAGACATGCTCGTTAAATTGCTGTTTTAACCGCAGAGTTATATTGGTTCCCAGCAAAACACTTCTTGGCGATCTAAATTTAGAGTAGGGCTCAGTAATGGAGAGAGTTGGGTGTTGTTCTGTGCGAAACTAGGCCAGCAGAGATGAGGGCTGATTCAATGTGTAGGCTTCCCTGCACTCAGACACAGGCCCTATGCTAAACATAAACAAGTCAACATGCACACGTGCATGCACACTCACGTGCACTCTCCCCGACACAGATTCAGTAAACCTGCTCTGCAAAAAGAAGCGAAAGAAGTCTGCTGATTGTACACTTTGAAGAACGTGTTGCTGCTTCTTTATGATATGTATAGCTTTGATACCTGTGTTAAATCTTGGCTTTGGCTTGTGTGTCTAATTGTATAATCTTCTATAATATCCAGGCGGTTTGGCACTTCCCTCTAAAACTCCTCACACTCCAGATTCCTCCCCCGACACCAGCCGCTTTCAGCCCACTCCCAATTACACCATAGAGGTAAGTTACTCAAATCTAAAAATCCTTATCACACACTCATCTGTAGACTGACTGTCACGACTGAGTGTTGCACTGTGTCCTCAATTCTCCTGTCCTGCTGCGTTGTAGGTGCTGATGTCCAGCTGTTCACTCTGTAAGACATGTGACTGCCTGGTGTACGATGAGGAGATCATGGCGGGCTGGACAGCAAACGACTCCAACCTCAACAGCACCTGTCCGTTCTGCGGCACAGCCTTCCTGCCTTTCCTCAATGTGGAAATCAAAGACCTGAGACCACAGAGCAGGTAAATGCTCACTTTACACAGACCAACACAGTATTTACACAGTATATATTCACATATAGTACACAATCATCATCAATCAAAATCATTTCACACTGATTTTAGTAATAACATGAGTAATAATAATAATAATAATAATAATAATCTATTTTTAGAGCACTTTTTCCACACACATTATCCCTGTGGCCTCTTTTAACAGATCCACTCTGTATCTCCCCCTTAGGTGTTCTGAGGAAAGTAATCCTGTGACAGAGGCGGACATGTTGCCGTCACTCAATCCTGAAGCCAAAATGTCTGTAGCAGACTGTGCAGCTCAGTCATCTGCAGCTCCCCCGCAGAAGCAGGAGAGCAGTGGGAATGCCAGGCCGGCTGTGCTAGCCTCAGCCCTGGCCTCGGATCCAGTGACGGTGCCCTACCTGAGCCCTCTGGTTCTGTGGAAGGAGCTGGAGAGCCTGCTGGTGAATGAGGGCGACCAAGCCATCTCCTCCCCGAGTGTTGTCGACCAACATCCCATTGTCTTCTGGAACCTGGTGTGGTACTTCAGAAGGCTGGAGCTGCCGAGTAACCTGCCAGCTCTTATCCTGGCCTCCCAGCACTGTAGCCATGGAGACCAGGTAAATATGCTCTCCCACATATAGTTGTGGGTAGATGGACCCATTAAGAATAAAGCTGTAATTTTATCAACTCTGTTGATATTGTATGAGTTAGATGAGATTATTGATAGCACTCATATCTGTACGAAGCGACCACCAGTGACTGGTTGCTTTAGCTTAACACAAAGACTGGAAATGGAGGAAGAGATGTTCCTTTCAAACCAGTCCTTTAAACCTTCTATGTGTACTGTTAAACCCAAAATCAGACTTTGGTGACTCCTAGTGGTAATTTAAAAGAAGACACTGTCAAAATAGAGCAGTGCATTTAATGCAGCTCATAGATTATACCAATTATCACTCAGAACATCTCTTTAACCAATGAAAATGAAATATTTTTATAAATATATATAAAATTCAACCCATAAGGGCTGTAACATACAGTGTAAGAGATTAATCTTCCACATGTTTTACCTCTTGCAGACTCCTCAGAGCGTTTCATCTGAGGACAGTAAGCAGGTGCTTGTGAGGATTATGTGGGACAACCTGAAGTTGCACCAAGACAAGGTTCAACCCTGCTATGTCTTGTGGAACACACATTGTAAGTCATTAAAGTGTTTACCTCAACAGACTGAGATATAATATGTTTTAAAAGGTGAAATGACTTTTAGAAAACAAGTCTGCTGCTAATGCTGGCAAGGTCAGATATTTACATGTAAATTAAATAATGCATATGAAGTAACTAAAAAATCATGCATAATTCAGTTAAGGACTCCTATTAGTCATGCCTTATCAGTGCAATACTTTCACAGTAGATTTAGCGTGATGGAGATGAATGAGCCTTTGATCAGGGTGACTTTTATCTCTTGTTCTCTGCAGGTGCAAACTCCCTGGTTCGCTCTGGGCTGTGTGAGGAAGGCCAGCTCTTCACTGTGGAGCTGCTGCAGGGTTTTGTAAGAAGCATTAAAAAGAGTGATGTCTATCAGTCTATGGGCCAGATCATCCAGCTGCTGGGGCCAGAGCTGGGTTTTAAAAGACAGAGGTGAGGAGATAAAGATTTGTAAAGCCATGTTTGAAAGATGAAATGAATGAAAAGTCTAATTGTTTTTCTTTTTTTCTTAAAAAGGAGCCTGTACCGAGATTTATTGTTCCTCGCTCTGGTGGCTTTGGGCAAGAACAACATTAATATCAGTAAGTTCAAAAGCATTATATCCCTGTTTTTAGCCATGCTACCTGCTAGCAGTTTGTCAATTGGTCTACCACTTTTGTTCCGACTGAAATATCTCAATAACTGTTGGGCTGATTGCCATGAAAGTTGGTACTTATATCGATGGTGCCTAGAAGATTAATCCAATTGACTTTGATGATCTCCTAAGTAGTTTACCCTGTACTGTTGTCATCAGGCCACAATTTGAATTTTGTTTAGCACCAAATACCAGCAAAATTAATAGGACTAACGCACCCAGCAACCTTAGCTGTGCTTTCTGTTTATTGCTAATTAGCAAATGTCATTGTCAGAGTTGTTTTGCCTTTAAACTCAACGATAATGGATTAAATACATTTCTTATAGATTAAATGTGCTGACAGTAACACATTACATCCATGTTGTTAAGTAACCAATATCTCTTTACAGATGCATTCGACCGGGAGTATAAGTTGGCATACGATCGCCTCACCCCCAACCTGGTTAAACTGACACACAACTGTGACCGGCCCCCTGGAGCAGGGGTCATGGAGTGCAGGAAAACTTTTGGGGAACCCAGTCTTTGAACTACTTCTCTTCCTCTTTCCCATTAAGTTTTTCCATCAACCACGGTCACTGCTGCTGTTTTTTTTTTTTTGACTGCTCCTCAGTCTCAGGACCAGCTCACCTGACTGGAGCACCAAGCTCTTAAGCACAATTGAAAAATGACACTTGATGTAAAGCAACTGCCATGAGTTTCTTGTATACTGTTAGAGCTGAGAGGCATGGAGTGACAGGCCTTGTGTTTGTAAATATTTAGAAAGTCCACTGTATTTTCAGTGTAGTAAAATGTTTGTACAGTTATTATACATTCTATTTTATGACTTTGTTTCTGTTTAAGCTGTGAGTAAGTATGTACAAGTAAGTGTATGATCACATTGTTGAAATTCTTAAGTGGTCCTGGTGACCTTGTTGACTGTTGAGTGTGTGTATAATAAGTACTGGCTTTTTGACATTCATGATTTAACAAAGCACTTTGGCAAGATGAGCTCTTGCCATTCGTTCTCATTTACGTAACGCTGTCACCCAGCAGCCTACGCTTAAGTGACTTTTTATTTGACAGCTGCAGGACTTACTGAACTGTCTGATACTTGCATTACATTCAGTTAACAAAAACAAATAAATTCCTCCTCATCTGCACCCTGTACACCGAGCAGGGCCATGGTCATATGCCTGAATACATTAAACTACACGGTAACATAACACAATATTATTTCTGAATCAAGAATGGAGTACTCAATTAATGTACGGTATATGCACAATGTTTATTTGTTTTTTGTACAATGTACCAAAATAACTCAAAAGGGAATTCTATGATTTATTTACAGTTTTTTAAGCAATACCTTTTTTAAAAGTGGAGTTTGAAAAATTGATGTTTTATGGGACCACCAAGGATATATTTCCTTAAAAACAGTACAATCAAACTAATAATAGACACATAAAAACTAAAAAAAATTTTTTTCATGGTTTAATCAACATGTTTTTTAATAATGAAATTAATTTATTGACACAGTAATGGATCTATAAATGTACAGATTATTTGATTCTAGTATTTTGTATATTTCCTTTTGGTCTTTGCTGTATAGTGTAGATGTCAGTTTTAGACATTTGGACAACAGTGCACTGTTTGATGTGACATTCAGAGTATAAAAATACTTTTTAAATCTCTTTGAACAGATGTCAGTGCAGGTTTCTTTGCACTGAGCATATTAAATGTCAAAGGTGTTAAGTTGGAACAGCTCTGATCTGTCCTAATTCAAAATCACTTCCAAAAAGTTGTGTAATGGTTCATTGTGTTAATATTGTCTTTCACTATTAACTGACAAAAATCTGCCTAGATGTGATGCAGCTCCACAGCTTATTACTAGACTTCACCTCAGTAACGTGTGATTATATGATGCTGGATTAGACATGGCTGTGTGCCTGTTTCATCAGCATTTACATTTGCATTTTAATCACTTTGTAAGTTGTGACTGAAAAAACACTGATGACCAAAACATAATTTGATGTCTACATGTTGTTTACACAATTTGTCAATTTAAACAATGTTATTATTATTATTATTTATCATTTGTAACACAGATACTAATTTCTATGATTTTTATATAAAAAAGGAATCAACTTTCTTCCCTGGCTGGATCTATTGTTTGCTTTCATTTATGAATAAACACATTTATTCTATGGAGGTCAAGTCTGATTTTATTATTGCTGTGCCTGACATTTTTATAAAAACTGATGTGCATGAACAAACTTTAACTTCAGGGAAGGTCAGGTTCTCAAGAAAACAAAACGTCATTGGCGGAAGTGTATACTTACATATTATACAAAATTCACATTTAAAAACCTCACAAATGTTCCAAATTGTGCACATATTCAGGATTTATAATTCCATTCTGTAGATGCAGTATACAGTGTAAACAGTGAAAACATTTGAATATCCCTGTTAGTATTCATTCTTTTACTTCACAACCTACACTATATTAGACAGTAGTTCTTGCATCTCCTGGTGTAATCAAAACTTGAATATAAAAGCTGCCATCGTTGCTAAAGGTGAGTATATAACAAGTTCTAGAAAATGTTGTAGTATGTGTATTGCTTCTGACACTCAGGACACATGCCACTGGCAGCAATGCAGAGCAACTACTGTAGCTTTCTGCACAGTTTCTACAGATATCAAGACCCATGTTCATGAGGTCCACACATGTATGGGTTAACAGTTCTGCTTCAGGACACAAGAAGAGAATCCTGGCTGTAGAGAGGGTTTATGTTCACACGTTCAGATGGAAACAGGGCAGACAATGATGCGATCCTCCAGCATCACGCTAAGCACCAGGAAGATAAAGTAGAGCAGGAACATGGTGGAACCCAGTGCCTTGTTCATCTTCCACTTACAGGATGCAATGGAGACGATGACAAAGATGAGCATGATGAAGAGCAGCACGATAGCACAGAAGAGCCCATTGCTGCTGACAGCCACTGGAGCCAAACCATGTAAGGATGAGTACAGAAGCCACGGGACTGGCAGACTTTTGAAACAAAGTGACAGAGCGAGAGAAACACAGAAAAACAGGAGACAAAGAAACCCATCAACTGAGTGTTCATCTGCATTTCTTTTTAAATCGTGACACATCATGCTATCGGAGCTCACCCCACAGTGATGTCGAAGATGTTACTGCCAACAGAGCTGGACACAGCCATGTCCCCCAGGCCTTTACGAGCCACAATCACACTGGTAATGAGGTCGGGGATGGACGTCCCTGCAGCCAGGATAGTAAGGCCCATTATCTCCTCTGAGATACCGATGGTCTCCCCCACCTACAAGGGCAAACCAGATTTCAGAGTGGATAGAAGCTACAGAAACAGAAAATTATTCACATGTTTTTTCTCAAAATGACCGATTCAGGGTACAATCTTAATCTCAAGTCCAAATGTGCACTTCTATCTCTAAATGATACTACAGTAACTGACCTGATGGGCCCACCACACCATGAGGTAGGAGAAGACAGCAATCCACAGAATAGAGCCCAAGAAGGTGACTGCAAAGAATCTTTTAGATTTCTGTTGGACAAAGTCAGTGATGTAAAAGCAAAACAGTGTTGAGGCATTTAGGATATTGCAGCTGATCTGAGAAATGTGTCTGTATCTTTACCTGGTTGCGGACATCTGGAACTGTGAGCCACAGAGGGAAGATTATGGGCAGCAGGAAGAGGTAGGTGGCTTGTTTACGTCGTGTGTCAGGCCACTCCAAAGAAAGAGGTTCATCTTCTTTCTCCTCTTCTTCTTCCTCTTCCTCATCTTCCTCTTCCTCATCATCTTCATCTTCACTTAACTCATCGCTGTCTTCATCGCTGTCATCTTCATCACTGCCATCATCTTCTGACCCTCCTGACCCAACCTCTCCTGCAGGTACGTCATCCTGAAGCGTTGGGGAAAGACATCATAAAGTAAGACAGTAGAAGTGAAGAGGAAATACCAAAAGAAAATACCAAAGAAGCCTAAAGACGCCATTTGCCTAAAGTACTGTAGCTCTGACTCTTACATAGACAGGTATCAAAGATTCACTTCTGGGTTTTTTGAAAACCACTAGGACATGGTTGGAGAGTACCTTCTCGTCCTCTGGCTGCTCTTTCTTCTCTGGTTCTTTCGGCGGGGTGGCCTCTGGCTCATTGGTCTGCTCAGTTTTCCCCCCATCATCTGTGAAAGGAATCCCAAAAATCTTGTGCATTCCCCCCATGCTTCAAACTCATTCCGCTATCTTAAGGAACTCCCATTTCATTTTGTAAAAGCTTTAGGTCTGGTCATGTGGGGAAATCCAGTGAATGTGTTTTTTAGGACTTACATCATACATGAGGTCATCCTCATGGAAACTGAACTGAATTAACTTGCTGTCTTCACTGGTTTATTATACCTGTACACAATTTGATGTATTCCTTGTGTTTTATATACACTATGTATACACATCATATTTAACTGCCAAGCAGCAAAAATTATGCTAAAGACACATTTTTCCTTTGGCTGCAATAAAATTATCTTATGGTGGACATGTCTCATAGACATCATCTTGCTGTTGTCACACAACCGGTTTGATTCATTCAGTTCACACACTGAAGCATTTTGGGTGTATGGTTTTAATGTGAAACAGAGCTTTGCAGCCCAGATGATGAGGAGCTTTCAGACTCTGTACATGAGCAGAGTCTGAAAGCTTAATGAAAGGCACCTGATCAATGGATGACCATCACATCCTTCCATTTTACCTTCACTTTTGTCTTGGGTTTGTGTTACTGCTGTCCGTCTAGCCACATTATTCAGAGTCTCAGCCTTATCCATAAATTTTCCTACAATCAAACAAGCAAAAATAAACTCAAAAATCTGTGATGAATTACTATCGTGTGATAACAATTACAATAATTCTACAATTTAACATTTACATTGGTGAAAAATTAAGCAGCCACATAATTCATGAGAAGAGCAAAATATTGGCAGTATAACATCAAAAACAACAGCAGCATCATAATCCTTACGGCAGCACAGAGAAATGTCATGAAAGGAAGAAAGATAGACGCTGAGCTGCAATGTGTTTCCAGTACACATTCTTCAAAAAGAACGCAAGTTTTTTCCTTTTGATGTAATGTCTCACATTAAATACATCCACCTCAAGCAAGCATAATCAAGAGCAGACAACTATAGACAACCATGCAGTACAACGTAGGATAGAAAGCAACTGCAAACATCCATTTTGATTTTACTTTCAAAGTATTTGATTCTTCAGCTCATCATTATTTACAGAAGTTAAGTAAGCCACAGGTATTTATAATGTTGCTTTGATGCATCATGTTACTAGTGATCTCGAAGAACATAGATAAAAAGAATTGGTTGATACTGGAGCTGCTTGCTGTGATCCAGATTTTATAGGATCATTCAAAAGCTGATTATAGTGCTGGAGTAAATTGTAAGTGTTTGCTGCCTGGAGGCCTGAAAGTAGAAAAACCAGGAGCCAAATGGGAGACAAGGTACAGCAATGTGGTCCTGCCTTAGGCAGTCATAGAACAGGAAAATGTGAACTTTGCTGTGAGAGTATGATCACCATATCACAAGGTACTACAAAGCTACAGTAACCTTACTACTTACTAACTACAACTATCAGGAAAACCTATTGGGGAAAACCACTGGGGAAACTGTACAGAACTAGTCCATCACCACATCATAGTTAACAGATTGGATTACTTTGTTATCTCTCTTTGGTATGCCTCTCATATAATAGACATGGTTTAATAATCATTTATCAATCAATTTAATAATTATTATGTGTAAAACAATCTCCCTGTTGACTAAGACCAAAGCTTGAGCAAATCTTTTTCATATTTCAGTGTAGGCCTACAAATGGATCCCTCCTTAGACTGTGGCAGGTATTTATCTGCTTAGTAACAATCTGGACTTAGTGCTGCCTTCATTTGGGACACTTTGCTAATCCATTTTACTATGAGAAGGACATAGTCTCCAGACACTCAATATAAGAGCAGTTAAAAAGGCAATCGTTGGGGCAATCGCTGTGGTATATGGTACTCACTGTCTCCGAGAGGGTCTAATGTGTGGATCATAAGTTGGAAGATGGTGTTTCTCATAGTGCTGTTGTGTAAAGAAGCTGAACTTCCCCCCCGCTGAAGGGATGGCTTCAACTGGGGAAAGAGATGGCTGTGGTCACGAAAGCTGCTCACAATAACAGAAAGTTAAACAACCATGTCATAGCAGCGGTCAAGCTCGTATTTTTACATGTACCAGCACTTGAAGGGAGGCTGGTTCATTGGGAGGACTGCAGAAAGGTCAATAATATGCAAACAAATATGTAGATATATGAACACTGTGAGTGTTTTTTGTGTGTTTCTATTTGCAGTTGATTGCAGTTGGTTGATTGTTTGATTTTTACCTTTAACCGATTCTTGTCCTCTGGTGCAGGAGGGGCATTATCTTCATCGTCCCCACTTGTCTGTGTGCAACAATGTTTTTTCAGTGATAATTATTCATTGGTAGAGATAGATGAAAGTTATTTCAATATGGTAGAGCTTAAATATCACTATACTGTATATAATCTTATACATTGCTATTTCACACATAGTACCCCATTAGGGTCTTATTAGTGTTACATGTCATTAAGAAAGATCTGTTTCATGTACAGGACTATACATTTGTAAAATTATTAAAAAGAAAAAAAGAAAAAATGACACTATAGTGTGATTACGTATGATGAAAAATAGCATCAAGATATCAAATAATTACATTTCTCCAGCAGTATATCCAGCTCAACAAATACCCTGAGTGTGCACAAATACTGTAGCTTTGTGCAAATTAAGCCTCAATCACAATTACCAGGGTTAAACACGATATATGTTGATACTACAGCTTGGACAGAGCCGTGGCTCCTCAAAGGATTAGTTTGCTGTGGCTGATCAGCTTTGGTCCAGCAAGGCCTTTGCTAGTATCATTTCACTCTTTTGACAAGATGTGAGTATAGATGTCATGAGGGATGAGCAATGTGGCTTTCTGTTTCAGTAATAACCACACTGCTTGTAATCAGTATGACAGAATACAAGACAAGATTATGCATAAGTGAAAGGGTTAGTCTCACTTTTGAGAATATGCATCTGTTTTATGGGGTGCCATATCTATACCTCTACATATAACAGCATTTCTTTCATGTTAACAAGATAGCAAAAATGGTGCCAGTGAATTATTTGTGAAGTATCGCATAATCTGCAAAAAGAGGTATACATTTGTCTCATAAATTACATAACACTGTTGTAATAAATATGTATGCAACTATGCTTCAAAGCACTCAGGCAACTTTGGGCAAATGCCTGCAAACTATAAGTTAGTAACTCTTCAGGGTTCTGCCCACAATTGAGAAAGATCTCTGATAAAAATACATAATAACAGACTTAATGTGTCAATTGAGGACATGAAAAATCTGATTTCAGACCAGCGTCATGTTCTGTCACAGGAGTGCTTACCTTTTCGGGTTCCTCCACAGTAATAATCTTGACAATGTTCTTGTGTTTGTAAAGTTGGGTCTTGAAGGCCTGTTCTATTTGCACATTGAACTTCATGAAAATCACATAGAGAGTGTAACTGGTCACCAGCATCATGCTCTCCCACCACATTATGACATTATCCAAGAAGAAGATGATGAGTAAGATGAGGTCAAGTATGTAGAAGGATACGTCTCTGAAAAGTGGCCACCAGGTTAGGTGAAGAACCTCCCGTGAAAACAAAGCACACATTCCAATCACAAACAAAATGTTGAAAACTGCTGAACCAACAATTGTGCCAATACCCACATTGCTGTGGGCGATGAAGATGCCTATCAAGGAGGTGAAAAGCTCAGGAGCAGAACCTCCAGCAGCCATGAAGGTGGCTCCTGCTACATCGTCAGAGATGGCCAACTTGTCTGTGATTACCCCCAGTGCGGGAACAAAGAACTCATCACACACAATCGCAAGTGAAATGAACATGTACATCATTCCAAAAATGTGGAGGATCACCCAGCCTCGTCTGCGGTCTTCAATAGAAAAGATATCTTCAGGGTATTCGCCCTTTATATGTGGAGCTTCACCAGGAGAGGCTGGAGTGATGGTGGTTACAGGAGGAGCTGGAGCTGGTGTGGGTGTCTCCTTTGGAGATTCAGGGGCCACATAGATGCAATGCACAAGAGTTCTGTTTGTAGTTGGCAATGGTGGAGATTCAGTGGGGGTGGATGCTTTAAAATCTGTTGTTGTGTCTTGATGATGCACCACATGCATCTCTGGTGTTGTTTGATCTGTGGGCTCTAATTCATGTGTTGCAGTGAGAGGTTCCTCCAGCCCCTGAGTCTCTACTGTAGTCTCATCAACCCCCTCTGTTGAACCCTCTCCAAAATCCTCTCCAATCTGAGGCATTGGCAAAGGCTCATACAGTCTGGCACTGATGGTCAGCTGGTAGAGGGTACACAGGAAAACCCCAGAAAGGAGAAACAGGACCCGGCTCAGCTGCAGTCGCTTCCTTCTTGTACAATACATTTTCCTCCAAAGCACTGACGCTGTTGGCTATGGAGAATTAAGCTGCATAAATGGGCTTTGGTAGAGGACAAGTCCAGCTTTCTCCCCCGGAGACCATGGGGTGACAGAATCCAAAACCTCAGCGGGTTGATTCATGTCATATGTGTCATCAACTCCTTGGAAAACCCAGCCTATTGTTAATGAAAGCATCAGAGATAAAATTACATTTAGACAGCATATGGCACAACAGTAGTTTGAAAGCATTTGAACTATTCAGACAATGTGACTCGTACACAATTTTCTGCCATAGCATTATAAATAAGCCCATTTAGAAGCTGTTATGTCCATTTTCTATAAATGTTGGTGGTTTCCAAGAAGAATGAACAGAATGAGTGACAGATGAGCACAACAGACAAACACAAGCAAATGCAAAATATCAATACAAATAGAAAATAGATAACAGCAGGGGGAGACTTACCATAGAACAAATATCTTGCAAAGTCAATGGTGCAAAAAAATCCAAAAGCAGATTTCCACAGCTGGGTATTGTAGCACAAGCTAAAGTCCAAATTGTTGCCAATCGCTAAAGGGTTATGTAGGACACAGGGACAAGTCTCCACAATGGATCAGCATAATACCTGAAGTCTTCTAAGAGGATTATGTGCATTGTCTCACTCTCACTTTATCACAAGCCTACCTTAGTAATATTTAATGCAAAATAACATTGGTGCTTTAGTCTTTACTGCTATTATGTTGCATAACTATAGCCAGAAAATGTATTTTATGAAGCCTGAGGCTGAGAAACTTGGAAATAATACTTGGAAATAACAAACTTTTTGAACTGGAACAGCTAACTCCAGTCCATAATGTATAATGTAAATAAGCCAATAGCATTACTGTTGAAATTGCAGTGTTATTTGCTGATTTCTTTTGCCGTCCTTTTCAGTAAAGTAATATGAACTTTCTTATTTAAAGTCTGTATCACATAGGAACTATGTAATCCAAGATAAACTGCTTTCACCCGGACAGAAGTAGTGGTGCACATATCAGCACAAACTGATGCTGTGAGAAATACCAGACCCTTCTCAGAAATACTGCAAGGCACATGTATCAGAATCAGAATCACTTTTATTGGCCATTTATGCTTACACATACAAGGAATTTGACTTTGACTCTGGTTTCACATTGCTCTCAATGTACAATGCACATACACAGAAAAAGGTATACGTAGAGCTAAAAGAAAGGACAACAAGTTCAAGAAGGTAAACATAAACATTAAACTATGTACAGATATAAATATACATATATATACATACATACATACATACATACATACATACATATATATATATGTATAAATAATAGAAAACTAAAGAAAAAATAGAAGAACAAAGAAAAAAAGGGCTGTGTGTGTCTTCTGTTCTTCTTCTATATATGGTAAAAACATAGGACACAAACAAGACATTGGTTAAGGCTCGACTCATCTACATCAGACATGAAACACATGATAAATACACAAAATTGCTTACCAAGCTATTAATTAGCAAGCCATTACTATTTTCAAACATGCATATGGCACATACTTCAAAAAGGCTTTGATGTCAGTCACAACCTGGGGACTTAACCCAGTGGAAAATACAACAAAATAGGGCAATCCTTTACTTAAAGGTCACATAGGTGTTGTTATAGGTTTGAAAGGATGCTAGCATCAAGTCAACCATGAGCTGCAGCCGCTGTGGCAACTGCTGCTTTCAGAAAAAGGCACAAACTGTCCCAGTTGGAACCAGACTTGGTGGAAAAACAATAATTCTTGTTCTTCTTGTGTCCCTTTTTAATTATTCTCAAACTTCTTTTTTTCTTTAACATTTTAAGATTTAAATTTGAGACTGATTATTAAGGACTATGTTTTTGAAGCATATTTTTTTTGAAAGTCACCAGATGAATATAACGTTAAATCTTACAGCTGGTGTCCTTTACTTTTGGAGCAACAGTTTACATTAGGTGTAATTGTAAAATTTGTATCATCTGCATACATTATTACTCTGGATTATATATTATTAATATGTAGGCCCATTATGCTACTGTTATTTCATACTTTTTGTGCTAAAATTTCAATGGCTAAAATAAATAAGTAGGGTAAAGCCTTGTTTTAAATCTCTTTTCAAATATATTGTTTCCGTAAGGTTGTTGTAGATTAATGTTTTAGATGGGTAGTAAATGTATGTAGTATATGTTTGTTTAGGGGGTTACAGATTTTATTGTAGGAGGATGTCTGGTAAGAATCTGGTCACAGTCACAGGGTCAGATCAAAGGACCATTTGTGTTAAAGACCTAACACCTTCACATGCGATTTACAGCAGTACTGTTAATAGGATCCCAGATGTGTTTTTGTTTTGATGTACTGAAAGGTATATAAGGGAGAGCATTCTGGAAGTTGGGAGAGAACATCTATGCTGTGGTCTTCTCTCCATGCTGCATGAACAAAGGGACTTGATTCATCACACAGAGTTCGTAATTCTTCAGAGAACTAGCAACTCTCAATATTGTGGAAGAATTTCTCCTACAAGGTCACCATTATTAACTATTTTACCTTTTGAATTACTATAAGGAGCTCTTATCCAATTAATTATGGAAAGGTCAACATTGAAATAGTGTTGACATTTATTCATAAGCGTGTGTTTATGTGTTTGGATGTTACCATAAATGTTGGGGTTTAAATTGTTGTACTTTGGTCTGTGAATGAGCACTGCATTGTGATCAAGTAACGGCCCACAAATGAAAGAATGTACAGTATATATATACATACACATAAATTATATCCAATTATTTTAAGCCCTTTTGGACACACTAACAGGGCAGATAATGATTTCATACTGCATCATAATGCTAAGCGCCACAAAGACAAAGTAGAGCAGGAACATGTTCAAACCTAACACCTTATTGATCTTCCACATACAGCATACAATGGAGATGATGAAAAAGAAGAGCACGACAAAGAGCAACACCATAGCACAGAAGAGCCCATTGCTACGAACAGCCACTGGAGCCAAACCGTGGATGGATGAATACAGGAGCCACGGGACTGGCAGACTTTTATAAAGAAAAAGAGCAAAAGAGAGAGACAAACTCATTAAATGCATGTTAATCAGCATTAGTTTTTCAACTGAAGCACACCCGGCTATCGGAGCTCACCCCACAGTGATTTCGAAGATGTTACGTCCCACAGAGCTGGACACAACCATGTCCCCCAGGCCTTTACGAGCCACAATCACACTGGTAATGAGGTCGGGGATAGATGTTCCTACAGCCAGGATAGTAAGGCCCATTATCTGCTCTGTAATGCCGATGGTCTCCCCCACCTACAAGGGCAAACCAGATTTCAGAGTGGATAGAAGCTACAGAAATAGAAAATTTTTCACATGTTTTTTTCTCAAAATGACCGATTCAGGGTACAATCTTAATCTCAAGTCCAAATGTGCACTTCTATCTCTAAATGATACTACAGTCACTGACCTGATGGGCCCACCACACCATGAGGTAGGAGAAGACAGCAATCCACAGAATAGAGCCCAAGAAGGTGACTGCAAAGAATCTTTTAGATTTCTGTTGGACAAAGTCAGTGATGTAAAAGCAAAACGGTGTGTTGAGGCATTTAGGATATTGCAGCTGATCTGAGAAATGTGTCTGAATCTTTACCTGGTTGCGGACATCTGGAACTGTGAGCCACAGAGGGAAGATTATGGGCAGCAGGAAGAGGTAGGTGGCTTGCTTACGTCGTGTGTCAGGCCACTCCAAAGACAGAGGCTTATCCTTTCGCTCTTCTTCTTTTTCTCTATTATCATCAGCATCTTCATTTTTACCGGAGTGATTGCGCCCTTTATCACTTACAGCATCTTCAGAGTCTCCTGACTGATCTTCCCCTGCAGGCACATCCTCCTAGGAACAGGCATTGGGTGTGTTGATCATGCTGGGCAATAGTTCAAGCATATGAAAGATAAAAGATAAGACCAAAGAAGCATAAGGGCCTAGAGGCCAGTTGTGAGTCTGTACATTGGCTCTTATGTAGACAGGTTTAAAAGCTTTACTTGAGCTTTTTGCTAACCAACAGGAAATGGTTGGGGAGTACCTCTTGCCTTTCTGGCTGCTTCTTTTTGTCCTTTGATGCTAGTTTGCTCTGGCTGCTCAGCTTTCATTTCCCAAAGCCTTTGTTAGTAACATTTCACTCTTTTGACATGATTAGCATAAAACCTCACAGTAGGTGGGAGTGTTGTGAGGGATGAGTAATGTGGTTTTATGATTCATTTTTCATAGGCTTTCTGTGATGATCATGACAGAATGAGAGACAAATTATGCATGAGTGAACAATTTTCACTTTTGAGTACCTGCGTCTGTTTTGCATATGGAACAAATTATGTGACTGTGTTACTTGATGTGATAAAAGCTAATTTTTCTTGATATTAAACATATTTGGTGCTTTTAAATATTTTTTCAGTATCAAAAACTCTATTTTAAACTCATCAAGTGGAGTAAAATCACAGTATATGTTCTTAAAAGCTACACAGATCTGTGCTAAGTTATATACCATTGTTGTAACGTGCAAGTATGCAAATATGCTGGGATGTGTTAAATCAAAGCTGGCCGAATGCCTGCAAACTGCAAACTATAACAGCTCTTTAGGGTTTCTCCCACGCTTGAAAAAAAGAATAACAAATGCCACATTCTTGATCTTGTTAGTTACAGAGTATGTATACAAGAAAAATGATTAAATCCCTTTGATTTGAGACGAGTACATTTGTCACAGGAGTGCTTACCTTTTCAGGTTCCTCCACAGCAACAACAATGTTCTTGTGTTTGTAAAGTTGGGTCTTGAAGGCCTGCTCTATTTGCACATTGAACTTCATGAAAATCACATAGAGAGTGTAACTGGTCACCAGCATCATGCTCTCCCACCACATTATGACATTATCCAAGAAGAAGATGATGAGTAAGATGAGGTCAAGTATGTAGAAGGATACGTCTCTGAAAAGTGGCCACCAGGTTAGGTGAAGAACCTCCCGTGAAAACAAAGCACACATTCCAATCACAAACAAAATGTTGAAAACTGCTGAACCAACAATTGTGCCAATACCCACATTGCTGTGGGCGATGAAGGCGCCTATCAAGGAGGTGAAAAGTTTAGGGGCGGATCGTCCAGCAGCCATGAAGGTGGCTCCTGCTACATTGTCAGAGATGGCCAACTTGTCTTTGATTACCCCCAGTGCGGGAACAAAGAACTCATCACACACAATCGCAAGTGAAATGAACATGTACATCATTCCAAAAATGTGGAGGATCACCCAGCCTCGTCTGCGGTCTTCAATAGAAAATAAATCTTCAGGGTATTCGCCCTTTATATGTGGAGCTTCACCAGGAGAGGCTGGAGTGATGGTGGTTACAGGAGGAGCTGGTGTGGGTGCCACATAGATGCACTGCACAAGAGTTCTGTTTGTAGTTGGTGATGGTGGAGATTCAGTGGTGGATGCTTTAAAATCTGAAGTTGTACCTGAGACCTGCATCTTTGGTGTTGTTTGGTCTGTGTGCTCTAATTCATGTGTTGCAGAGAGAGGTTCCTCCAGCCCCTGAGTCTCTCCTGTAGTCTCTCCAAAATCCTCTCCAATCTGAGGCATTGGCAAAGGCTGGTACAGTCTGGCACTGGTGGTCAGCTGGTAGAGGGTACACAGAAAAACCCCAGAAAGGAGAAACAGGACCCGGCTCAGATGCCTTTGCTTCTTTTTGGCACAATTCATTTTGCCCTAAAGAAGCAGTGGTGGCTACGAAAAAAACAAGACAGCAACTTTAGTAGTGTACTTCATGTCACACCCTCTTGGCTCTTTCATCCTATTGTAATAACAGATACAATGACAAGTAAGCAGCAGCATGCACACATACATACACATAACCTATGGATATATATGCATTGATCCTTAAGTCTTTTTAGAGGATTATGTGTGCAGTGTCTTATTTTCACACTCAAACTGATCACCAAAGCCGTTTGCAATCTTCATCAAATACACATAATAACCTTAAAAACGGGCGACTCTTCCTCACCAGTTTCCCCGCAAGTATTAAAAATCCAGGGCTCTCGTCGGATCGCTAGATGCCGAAAGCTAATTGTGCGGATTCTCGGACATTTTCCGCGCATAACTTTTTACAAAAACAACTTCTCTGTTTATCACATGCGCGCACATTTCACTTACACAACGCGATCTGAACCGGAATAACTAAATTCAGGATTAATACTTCAAAGATCGAAACTCCAGCATGTAATATCCAATGAACCAAAGCTAGAGCAATTAATGCTGGAATTAATTAAGTAAGCTGCTGATTTCTGCGCACGTCTCAGCTCAACAAGATCACATAGGAACCACTTGTCTTAAAGCACACTGTTGTCACCCGGACGGAAGTACAGGTGCACATTTACAACACAAACACTGGATGGCGAGCGAACCGTTGAATGGCGAGTATAGATCCAGTTTTTGGCCTGTTAATAATTAACTTAATATTTTACTTTTTGAGGTAGATATCTTCTCCCTTTTGTTAAAGAGTAACCGGAACGTTTCTTCCGTTGGGTTCCGTTAGCCGAACAATTAGCCCACACTAGCTAACAGTCCTCTGCTGTGACATGTTCCTTCTTTCTTCTTTCTTCTTTCTTTTAGCTCTTAACGTCGTTAATGGTCGTTAATGGTCGTTAATGGTCTACACTAACCCCACTGTGACACCCCTCAAAAGCCCTGGCAGTGATATAAATACTTAGTCGCATAATAAGCCACATAATTGATGAATTATCTTGTCCTCGAGAGACGCTGTTTGACGCTAAGTTAGTAAACAGTTAACTTTTTAGTTTTGCGTTGTTGTTTTCACATTTACCACATTTCTGTTTCTTTCCTTCAGTTGGAGCACGTTGGAGGGTACTTTAAGTCCGTTGTATTTATCAGGAGCCCACATACAACAGTAAACCATGCCCACGGTGGTCTTAATGGACGTGTCTCTGTCCATGACACGGCCAGTGGCTCAGGACGGCAGCGAGGAGTTTCAGAGGAAGAACCTGGCTGTCCACGGACTGAATATGTTGTTTGAACACATGGCGTCAAACTACCGCATGGAGTTCACAACGCTGATGGCTTTTTCTTCCCTCTGGGAGCTCTTGGTGCCTTTCACCAGAGATTACAATGCATTACAGGTAATTTGTGCCTGTTTTCTCGAGGTCAAACTCAACCAGTGAAAAGGAGTAGGACTTTGGAGAAGAGTTGGACATGATCTTTTTTAATTTCTTTTCTGTACAGGAGGCTCTGAGCAACCTGGAAGATTATGACAAGACCTGTGTTGAATCCGCTCTTCAAGGAGTTAGTAACGTGGTACAGCAGGAGTGGGGCAGTGCCTGTCCCTGTCAGGTACTTTGAGTCCTTTTTATACACTCAGTTTATTATTAATTAGATAAAGATGGTGGTGTATGGTCAAATCATGTTTTCATAGTGATTCCAGCTATCTATGCCTGTTTATTGTGACGCAGGCTTATGTTTTTGGATCTCCTTCCTTTGTCCTGTAGATGGTAATGGTTACTGATGGATCTCTTGGTATTGGAAAGGGTTCCCTACGTCACTCCCTGCAAACACTGAAGCAGCGTGGGGATGACAAGAAGTTTCCACTCCCTTTCCCTTTCCCCACCAAACTGTTCATCATGTGTGTGGCCAATGCAGAGGAGGTACTGAGTCACCCTTTTTTTGCTGACATTCAACAATTAATTAAAAGGTTTTGCATGATTTAAGTACTCCAAAATGTCTAAATTATTAAAGCAGTGACTTAGAGATTGAAGTCAGTGTTTGACCTTGGGAGAAGATGAGTGTATTATTTTATTTGTCACTTGTCTAGTGTGACCAGTAAGTTTCCATTGCGTCCATGTCAAATTTAAGCTAATGGTAAATCAGTGCTTGTAATAGATTTGTTAGTTGCAACAAATGCAACCCCCCTGTTTTGTGTAATTACAGTTACAGATGACTGACGCCATGGACAACTTGGAAGAACTACTTCGTCTCAGTGGAGGGGATGGACAGATCTTCACTATGGAGGGGGCACTTTGCATGAAGAGTGTTCAGGCCATGTTTGGGTATGACTCTTACTGGGAAAATAATCCAGGAAAATATTTTACTTTTCCATGTTTTTGTAGGTACTAAGGAACCGTGGCTATTGTATGTCTCTGTATGTCTTCAGGAGGTTGATTGATCACGCGTACTCTCCCTTCCATGCCGTCCTGCATTGTGGAAACCTGTCGTCAGACGTTCAGGTGTTCCCTCGACCTGAGCCTGTTGTGATGGATGAAGAAGTGGAGCCCATGCCCCGAGCAGTCAGCACAGGTACCCAGCTGTCTTTTAAATTGAATGATTTAAAGTTAAATTGAAACTATTTTTTCCCCCTTTAACACAACTTCATTCTTTTATACTTGTTTCAGATTTGGAAATTGTGGGCTTCATTGAAATTGGTGACATTTCCAGTCCTCCTGTTATATCCAGACACTTGGTACTGCCTATTGCTGTAAACAAAGGTTAGTGCTGGAAATGTGTGGTGTTGTTCTAAAGCAAAACTATTGTGTACATGTGTAGACAAATCAGCTGTTCAACCTGCCCAGGCCTTGTTGCTTTTTGTGTAAATGATTTTCTCAAAAAAATGTCCAGTTTTTCTTCAAAGGAGCAGATTGTTTTAAACTGATTTTCACCTGCACTGCACTGTCCACACACTTAAAAGGTTGTTCCCTACTTCAACACTAGTCTTTTTGCAACAAGGATGACTCAGATTGTGCTCCCAGTAAATCTAATTAAAGGGAAATAGGTAGCAAATGTAAACAAAAGTGTTTGTGATGCAAATAATATTTTTAAAATAGCATTTTTACATAGATTATGGTCACCTTTTATATTCAAATAAACACATTTTAAAAATATAAAAATGTATGAGCCCTCAGTATGCCACATGATAGGGTTAGTGATGATATTATCAATGTTTTTTTTTTTTTTTTATTTGTTCTTGATTTCAGAGGTGGATGAAGTTGGCGCAGGAGCCACAGATGAGCTTGAGGAGGAACCCTCTGCCAGTCAAATGGCAGGCAAAAGTCCCAATTTTTGTGTACTTTTACATGGCAGTCTTAAAGTTGAGGGCATGGTCGCACTGGTCCAGCTGGGGTGAGATGCAACAGAATTGAATTGAATTCATTCTAATTATTATGATTTAATCAATTTATTAAAATATTTTATGAAGAAATTGCCTAAATCAAGCTTAATCTTCCTCAGGCCAGAGTGGTATGGCATGCTGTACTCCCAAGCAGACAGCAAGAAGAAATCAAACCTGATGATGTCTCTGTTTGACCCTGGTCCAGAGCCTCTGCCTTGGCTGGGCAAGATCTCACATTTGGGACCAATATCAGGTAACTCCTCGCCCCTCCATTGTGTCTGGTGTCGCTGCAGACACATAACAAACTGTTCATGAAGTCTTTGCTAGTTCCTAATTCCTGAAGGCATAATTTTAATAGTATGACATTTTTTGGATATTGTAATATGTAACCCATGTACAGATTGTTTATTCCTGCTGAGCAATGTATGTGTACATAATCAAGCACTTAATTATTTACAGAGTTGGGTTACTTTGATTGTGATACTGACAACACTGTTTGATTCACTTTCTGCTATTTCAGAGGCTGCTGAAAATCCCTATGGAGAGGATGACAGTAAAAGTCCTTTCCCTGTGCAGCCCTCGGTCAAACGCAGCTATGCCCAGAATGTCACTGTGTGGATTAAAGCTAGTGGACTACAGGTACACTGTATTAAGGCACTGTTGTCTGTTGAAGTCTGCATATCATATACTAACAGTGCAATGGAACTGGGTTAATGCTTACTGATGATGTTGTTCAAGTCGTATGGTCATACGGTTTTGTAGAAACCAAACAAACGTGGACGCCTCACAGCAGCTAAAGTCCGTCATTCAGTGCAATTAAACCTAACTTCGGTGGATATGGTGTTAAATGGTTGAAGCACAGTATTTTAACCCTCACACAACCAACAGTACAACCGTCCCGATCCAAAAATGATGTGAACACTTGTAATTTATCGTGGGAATCTTTCACATCTGTGAATGTGGTATGAGGCTGTGTGGTTACTGAGGTATATACCGTTAGGAGCCATAGCCATGTTTTCCTGTTTCTGTTTGTTCTGTGACCATGTTACCATGAATATTGAGTCAGAAAATTTTTTGAGGGTCATTTATGCTTATGTTATTTCATTCTACAGACTGATGTGCAGAAGATCCTGAGGAATGCAAGGAAACTGCCAGATAAAACTCAAACCTTCTATAAGGTAATTTCTTAAAGTAACTATTAACTAGAATATTTATGTTTCGATCATTTAAATTACTCATTTGATTGTTTGAATCTGTCAGGAGCTGAACCGGCTTAGGAAGGCTGCCTTGGCGTTCGGTTTCTGGGAGCTCCTGAAAGGAGTGGCTGATCTGCTGGAGAGAGAGTGCACCCTGCTGCCAGACTCGGCCCATCCGGATGCTGCTTTCCAGCTGTCCCATGCTGCACAGCAACTTAAACTGGCCAGCACTGGTGACTCCCAGTATGCTGCTTTTGATCACAACATTGTTCCCATGCACACTGACTTCTCAAGCTGAGCCACATCTGAAATTTGTAATAATAGACTAAAATATAGGAGCCCCAGCCTGTGTGGACCAAGGTGGAGAACTGTGTGTGCTGATTGTTGTTTTTAAGGAACTCATCAAAGGAGCTGCTTCAATAACCTTCATGTGGAACCAATTGATACTCTTTTTTGACACTGCCTGAACACGGCAAAACAAAAATTACATGTTTGTAAGATGTTCATGTGTACATATTGTTTTTTTTTTTTTGTAGGATATTTTGTAGGATATTTTTCACAAATTAACCAGATTTAAGTTTAATTTTATTCACTGTCAAATAACTTTCACATTTACAGGAGCCTCGGGAAATTGTGACAAATTAATGAAACAGTAAAATGAGGAAGGGATATAAATATAACTTCTTTCATAGGTCATTGTTGAGCATAAGGGACACAACATGTTCTCTGTATTTTAGCAGTAGCCCTGAGGTTGGAACGGTTCAGAAATCTGGAATGATAACACACAGTATTTGTTGAGAAAGTTGTAGCTATCTTCATTCATACAAAGATTAAAAGGAAAAACAAACACAGTATGCTTATTACAGCTCTTCACTAATCTACTTATCTCTTACAGACTAACGTCTAAGAGAACTCAATGACCAGTAAATAAGAGTGTAAATGCAATGATGAAATACTGAGTCGTCTGTAGGGTGTTCATGTTAACCACAAGTGAAATTATTTTAGTGAAAAAACTGGCATGAAAAGAAAAAATAACCTCTTAACAATAACTGATTTGACTGAAGCATGGTTTGAGGAATCGTCTTGAAAAAAGAAATAAGCAGGCAGCAAAGGTGTTTGAGTATTGTTGGTGCTGAATGTCAATTTGCTTTCCTCTTCTTGGTACGGAAACGCCTCTTCCTCTGCTTGTAAAGATGGCGGAAGTTGATAAAAAGCCCTGAAGTGGGGGAAGGAACCAAAAGGTTGATATCAGAACAGAAATGCTGATATTATAACATAGCATTTGTTCAGAAGTCTAAACATATGTATGACTCAAGTTTTATCTTCACACTTACCCAGAAACATGAGAACAAGATAGATGTGCAGGAAGTAAGAGAAGCCGATAGAGGTGCCGATGGCTTTTGGCAGAGGAATGCTGAAGAGTTTGGTCTCATGAAAGATTGGAATCGATTGTATCACGGCAACGGCTACATGGGGTTTGCAGACAAGATACATTTTAGTACTTGTGTGAGAAGAATTATCATTCATTGATTGAGAGAAGTAAACAAGCTCACCTTCAGCTATAACACCTAACGGGTACAGTGGTATCCAGATTGTGTACCGCAGCCACGTGAGAGTTTTCCACTCTGTGTTGAAACAGCCCAGCATGTAGAATGGATACCTGAAATTAGTGCATCATGTTAGTTTTCACTAAGACTGACCTGGCATGTTGCAATTAACCAACTGATACAAGGCAACCATTAACAGCCCATTCTCAAAACAATGTAGCCTAAATGACCTGCTCTTGTTCTGATTCTTTAACGCTAATTGCTGCACCCGTCTGCGGCATTGGAACAAGTTAACCTCAAACCTTTTGTTAAATTAAGTCTGCAGTTATTCTTTAAGTGATGATGCTGAACTTAAAGGATTTGCATTACGGGATTTTACTGACAGCGTGCTTAGGTCAACAGTTATTGCCACTGATGCCATACTGCAACCGTTTTACCATTTGCTGTTGGGCTAAAACAAACTATTTCAAAACTGATAAATCTTCTGAGTATTCTCCCGACAAATCGTTTGGTCTTTAAAACAGTGACAAGCACAGTCTGGTGTTCTAGGATATTGTGAGAGACATTTTACACTTGTCTATCACAATGTCAGAGAGCACAAAGTGACGCCATTAAGTGTCTTGTTTTGTCCGAACAACAGTCCAAAACCCAAAATATTCAATTTACTTAATTAAAAGCTAAGATAATTCTCAAATTTGTGAAGTTGAAACCATCAGATGTTTGGCTTTTTTGCTTAAAAAATGACAGTGGCTATTATTAAGCTAGGAAGTACAATAATCTCATGTCAGCAGAAATATATGTCTTTATCAAGTCCATTTGCATGACTATTCACCACGAATGCAAATGCATATTTACCTAAAAATCTCAATGCTGCTCCACAGATAGAACACGAAGAACACAACTGGCCGGTTGTGCATTTCCTCCAAACTGCCGAAAATGATGAAGAGGATAAAATTCCTTCCAACCACCTGGTAGAAGAACAAAAACACTTATTAGAAAATTAGCACCTACACTATGTATGTATTGCATTTGGTACTCCATCTGTTGACTGCATTTCTGTAACTGTGCAAAGCAGGTGTCACTGGACATCATGAAATTCAAACTCGGGCAAATGAGCATCCCACACCTGTATAAGAGTTGGAATAACACCTGTCCGGACTACACCAAAAGCAGCATTGAGGACCTCTACTGCTGCCAGGATCTGGCAGAAGAACATCACGTCCGAAATGGTGTGAAATGTGTCGTAGAGAGAATCTGAAGTGAGAGTAGCGTCATAAATATTCGGTCTTTTTATGAAGAAACTGATCAATGAAACTTTGAATCCACAACAGTCTTATATTTACTCACCTTGGCCAAAGATAAAGAGCCGCACTGTCATGTTGACAAAGATCCATGAAAAACCAAGAAACTGTACCAGGTTGTATATAAACAAAAATCCAGTTTTCAGGCTGACAAACCCTGAAATATTTGAAAGAAAGAAAGAAAAATCATTGAGGCAACTGATGAGACTTTAGAGAAACAGGCATTCATCCAGGCAGATTTGTTTTTACTCACCTTCCTCTTTATGCCTTGAAGCATTCAGCCGGTTCCTTTTCTCCTCCTTTTCCCAAGTAAAAAAATATATTTGTTCATGACACTTTGCAATATTGACTTTAATTAATTAACACAACTGTCAGATGCACAGGGTTGTATGTTAATATGCTTCACTGATGTAAATATTTATCTCACTTTTTCCCGGATCTCCATTTCAGCGTCTGACTCGTCCAGCCAGCTGTCAAAATCAGGTGCCAGGAAGACTGGTTTGCGCTCCTGTACCACCAATCTTTCCCACCAGCCTCGCTGCTCTTTCCGCACTGTAATATTCACCTGCCGCTGTGTGGACCTGTGGGTCACCTGGACACACACACGTTCATTTAATGAGCAGCACAGTCAGCAAAGCTAGAAGGCATTAAGTATGAAAGTAACTGTGGACATATGGGACTGATTTTAAAATGTATACATACCTCTGGCTTTACTGGTGAAATAAACTCCAAGTTGAACTCATATTCATTTAGTCCTTTTGCACCATGGCCCCGGGCTACACGCAAAATACCATAAAAATATGTTACACATCAGGAACTTTTAGAAATATTCCCATAGTCAAATGAACATTAAATGTATATTACCTCTGAACTGAAGCACCTTTTCATGTACATGGACATCAATATTCTGCAAAAAGAAACAGATGATGAGCATACTTCCTCCCAGTGTGAGAATTTAAGCACCATATTACCATCTGTTAAATAAAACATTTAAAAGAGATTAAATTAGACCTAATAACAATTAAGTTAAGGCTGCCACTACAATCTATAATCCATCAACAATTGTGACATTACCAGCCAGTAACAATGTCCTCGTTTGAAGAAACTCAACACGGAAATGAGCGGTTTCACACAAACTCCACCCTGAATCAGCTCTTCATGATACTGTATAAGAAATAAATAAAAGTGGGCAAAAGAGGATCCTTCCTGCAGCCCAGGTCCGGGCAAAGTGCACCTGGGTGATGCAACACCTGTCCCTAACCCCTGCTTACCTAACCTAACCTATGGGGCGAGGTGATAATGTTACACTCCACCGTTGCGATTCAGGCAGTGCCGAGGGGTATTACAACCACACACATATCTCCTTAAAACAATAGTATTCTTTATTAATAATAATAATTAACAAAATAAACAGGTTTCCTGGAATCAGGGGACACAGGGGGCTTTGTGAATATCATCTAGTTATCAGCTAAAATGATCTCAGTTTATCACCACATATGCAAATTGTACAGCAACCCATCGATGTGGCATTTACAAGAACCTGCAGCCTTCATTTGCATTATCTAACATCAGAGGCGGTGACACAGTGAGTGCAGGAGGCACTTTGTTGCCCCCGCAGGAGGGTCCTATCTAACGTCGACTCCTGTGAGCTCACCTGAGCGTCTGTCAGCTCCACTCGCAGGTAGATTTCTTCATGGCGTTGAGCCCAGTAAACGAGCGGTGTGAGTGTCATTGTTCCGTTTCCCAGGAGCTTCTTGTTTTCAAACAAATATCAGGATGTTCGGACAATGAATGAAGCCGCCTCGCTTCATGCTAGCTCGGCTTGAAGGCTACAGCTAAATTACCCAGAATGTTCTGCGAAGCGCGTGCGCCCGCCTGTCCGTCACCGTAGCGACGTGCTCGTGCTAAAGGGAGCCGTTGGTTGTGCTCTCCTCTGATTGGCTGGCGGATGAATATTTACGGAAGTAGTCAAGTTTAAGTGGATTAGAGGAGCGACACACGACAGCTTGTCGACTGGTCTTGGTGACATACTAATATGCAGACAGACGATCATGGTTCTGGCCTAAGAACATTTCGTGTTCTTGTTGGTGTCACTGGAAGCGTTGCAGCCTTGAAACTGCCTCTTTTGGTATCCCAGCTCCTTCAGCTCCCTAGGGTGAGCTGCTTCGTATTTACTTGTATTTTAGAGCCTGACTTAACCGTGTCTTCTATCTGTCTGTGTTACTTAGACTCAAAGTATTACGCCCATGCACCTGCACACACTGTTGCGTCTTTAACTTACCTGGCAGATTGCGCACAAGGCTCACCTTAACCGCAAGATGGAGATGTGTTAACTTAGCAGCTGTTTTATAAACACACAGCAACATAGCAGTGTAGTGTTGTTGTGATAGACCTTTTATTCAGGTACAGTGCTGGTATTTTACTTTCAGATATATTTCATTTAAAGCATCACAAAGCACAATGGGATTAAACTAACAGTGAACTAGTTCTCTTAACCGAAGTAGCAAAAGTTGTATAGCAATGAAAACCCCAAATAAGCTGTTACAAGAAACTGTGTGGACCTGTGGGTCACCTGGACACACACAGGTTCATTTAATGAGCAGCACAGTCAGCAAAGCTAGAAGGCATTAAGTATGAAAGTAACTGTGGACATATGGGACTGATTTTAAAATGTATACATACCTCTGGCTTCAACTCCAAGTTGAACTCACATTCATTTAGTCCTTTTGCACCATGGCCCCGGGCTACACACAAAATACCATAAAAATATGTTACACATCAGGAACTTTTAGAAAGTATTCCCATAGTCAAATGAACATTAAATGTATATAACCTCTGAACTGAAGCACCTTTTCATGTACATGGACATCAATATTCTGCAAAAAGAAACAGATGATGAGCATACTTCCTCCCAGTGTGAGAATTTAAGCATCATATTACTAACTGTTAAATAAAACATTTAAAAGAGTGGTTAAATTAGACCTAATAACAATTAAGTTAAGGCTGCCACTACAATCTATAATCCATCAACAATTGTGACATTACCAGCCAGTAACAATGTCCTTGTTTGAAGAAACACGGAAATAAGCTGTTTCACACAAACTCAACATCAGCTCTTGTTCATGATACTGTATAAGAAGGAAACAAAAGTGGTCAAAAGAGGCTCCTTCCTGCAGCCCAAGTTCTTAGTGCTTTATAGCAACGAAAACCCAAAATAGGCTGTCACAAGAAGCTAAAAAGAGAAGTGAAACCAGTGGCTGGATTAGTGTGTGAAATAGTTTGCGATACACAGTGGTGTGATGGTGCCTGGAGAAGTGGGTATACTCTTAGTTTATGCCTCTTCCAGCAAAGGATTAACGCCCTGTGTTATAAACAGTGTCAAGACTACTCTTGCATATTTAGTTCACCCAAAATGGGCCAGAAGTATTTGCACATTGTCGCTAAACTTCTGCTGCCTGACTTCAGGGAGTAAGGAGCATTATGAAATCTACATTAGCCACAGAAGAGGTGCAGATTACATATTGTAGGGTGAGAACATAATCATGAATTTTGAATTATGTTTTCCTTATTCCTTACTCCATCCACTATAATATCGAATCAAATAAAATTTTATTATTAATTTGTGAAAAGGTATCAGTGCATACACAATACATAACCAGACAAACAAAAAGTAAACAACATACATACAAATATTTCAAATACTGGTTTTAAGATGTTTGAAATTTTTAAAATGACAAAAATGTCATGCATTCGCCATTCTAGGAAAAAAAAGTCAGGTGAACACTGCTGAATGATGCGGATTAGAGGGGAAACCCATATACCTGTGTATGCCGTACACTACACCACTGGCAACACATAAAATAAAGACAGTGTTAGGTTTTGTCATACTTAACAGGTTTGAGAGATATTTAGTGCTGTATCCACCCTTACAATTTTCAAGGAATATTAAAAAGAGAGAAACTCCAACTGTGATATTTACACAAAATAATGACTATCTCAATATGATCACAGAGTATAATTAAATGATGATAATGGTATATCAAAAAACTACTGCTGGATACAGGTCATATGTAAGGTCTTGCAAAATGCAGAGAAAACTACATGCCCAGTGTTATCATACAAATGAAAAGACCCATAAAATAGTCTTTAAGATAAAGATCAGTTACTTGTCGTCTCTTTTTAGTTTTCCACCTCTTCAGCCTGATAGCAATACTAAAAAGTGATTTTCTTGTGACTGTCTTGTTTTATTCTTTAGGTGGACGTAAGAGTGGTCACTACAGAGCATGCCAAGCACTTCTACGATCCTGCAGAGGTTTCAGTAAAAATCTACAGTGACAAGGATGAGTGGGAGGTAACAATAGATTTTCATAGTATAGCCATTATTAACTGACAATCCATAGCAGAGTTTCTCAAACTTGGTTCCTCTGATAAGCTGACTGGATTGTGGAAGGGTTTGCAGTATTAGCATAATTTGAAGCTCCCTTCATGCTCTTGTAAAAAATAAAAGATTGATGCTGAGAATCACATGATGTGTGTGATTGAATTAAAGTGTGACACAAGTTGTCCAGTAGTCATTTGTAGACAGCTTCCCAGCTGGTCATGAGAATTTTGTCAAGGGCCAGAAAAGATTGAGAAACGCTGGTCTAAGTATAACTTAGGAAAGGAAGTGAGGAATTGAGTCTCTCGTGTCTCTATTCTAGCTGTGGACTCAGAGATCTGACCCTGTGCTACACATTGAGCTACGACGCTGGGCAGACCTACTTGTCATTGCCCCCCTTGATGCCAACACTCTTGGAAAGATTGCTAGTGGCATTTGTGACAATCTGCTGGTGAGAACATGAAATTGTTTTCTGATTACCTACAAAATGTTACGGCTGATAATTTCTCTGAAATTACTTCCAAGCTGATTAGTCTTTGTCATTGGCAGACATGTGTGGTAAGAGCATGGGACACCAGTCGCCCTCTCCTCTTCTGCCCTGCGATGAATACAGCTATGTGGCAACATCCCATTACAGCCGAGCAGATTTCCAGGCTGACAGAGTTTGGATATGTGGAAATTCCCTGCATTGCTAAGAAGCTAGTGTGTGGAGATGAAGGTGGGTTTTAATACCAGAAGAAACTTAAAGATATTAAGTTTTTACCAATATTTGCTATCATTTCATGAAATCTCAAAATGCAGGACCATGTTGGTTTGACCAAAACAATTAGAATGCACTGGAAACATGAAAAGTAAAGAATAATGACCAAATCTAGCCTAATTCCAGGGATTCTAACTGCATTATAGTCTTTTTAATTTACTTTTTATCACCTTAACAGTTTTTAAGTATGCAATTAAACTTCAGAAATAATTCCTAACTTACATCATAAGTCGTCCTCAAGGGCAGTAATTGTAAAATAAACAGAATCAGCTAAATACAGAGCAGATGCATACATGTAGGAATGCTACTAAACGTGAGCAGACAAGCACTATGTGGAAGTACAAGATATATACATCTAATCAACATCTAATGATGTATAAAGGCAAGTAAATTGGGAAACTGGCAAAGGCAAAAGTTGTATGACAACAAGAAACACTTAATAAATACAAATGGGTAATTATTGAATGGAAAATAGGTCTCAGACACAAGTGCTCTGCCTTACTCAAAAATATCCATATGTGTAAGTTGACTTTATTTAAAAAAAGCAACTTCCAGTGGTTTCTTGTAGAAGTGCACTCAAGGGTGTGTTAGTACACTATCTGTTTCTCGGGTGTGGCAGATACAGCAGAGCACATTTCTGACCACTGTGGTAGACATTTCTTTAATAAACTCAATTTTAAAAAAGGCAGTTGTCTTTCAGAGTTTTGTTACAACTTTTTGTATGCATGTGGAGCTCATCCCTTTATAAGAAAGAAGACCAAAAACTGGTTAAAGTAAAACAAAAAAAAGTGGACAGTATTGGATTAGAATCACATTACCTAAAATCACATGCCCCACCTTTAATTGTGAGGAGAGAGGTTCACAGTTTAGTCACTGTCAGATTCTTTGTAGGATTAAGTTTTCAGATTGCCAAAATAGCTAAACAAAAAAGTAGATGAAGCTTAATGCCCCTGATATCAGCAGAGTTAATAGATTTGCCTTTGGGTTACAATATTGGTTGGAATGCAGAAAACTCTTAGTGATGAAGCTGTAGCTGATGTCCTGGGAGATTTTCAGCATGCTGGATCAGCATTGTAACATTTTAAACAAGTTTGCAAATGAGTTACATCGAGTGAAAACTTTTAGATCCATTACTGATAGTAAAGCTGAGTGAATCGACTCTCAGTTCATATCAGGAGATTCTAAATCAAATTGGTTAAACCCTGTATATGAAAAGGACTAAAGGTGACAATATACACTGCTATGTTATGTTATTGAAAGTATCAATTTAACATGAATGTTCGTCAAGTATTCAGAGTGCCCCTCCTGACAGTTTTCTCCCTCTATAAAAGGTTGGTCTACACTGTTATTAACTTCTGAGACAGGGTGGGTCCTGGTGCAGAGATGAAGAGATGGTGATAGATAAATGGCCCAGTATATCTCTGATCAGTTATTTACCCCAAGATAGTCAGACTAGACCATTTGTACATGGCGTTTTTACAAAGATGATACAAGCAGTTGTAATCTTGGAATGACTGGCAGTATTGTTCTTGCTAACCAGTGTGGTATGTGGTCCGTATTGATTCTAAAGTATAGTGTGTCTTCGGCTGTGTCTCATTCCGCCTACTTGCAGACTTCAAACACTTAGTTTTAAGTATATAGTGTAGATAACACAAAAAGTCAGTGCACTGAAAGTACCCGGATGAACCCCTAAAAACGGTCAAAAAATTCAGTGTGGAATGATGGACCCTACTCACACTGAACGGACGCCATCTTGACTACAAAGCGGAAGGGGAGGGACCATTGGGACGAGCACGTTATAAATGTGAACTCTATCGTATAAATGTAAGTAACAGCGGTAATACGAAACGTTTTACTGTCGTCTAATGCATTACTTACATGTCCTCACTGACACTGACTGAAGCCAGACATAATCATTTGGCGAGTTAATTAGCGTAAAGTTACATGTTAATGCTACCTAGCTACCCTAACCTGCATTGGCGTCGGAGGCGACGTAGTTTCCACATGCTGTGAACTGAGTGGTAAATGAACGTTCAGAAAAAATGTTTGTAAACAAAAGCTGGCATATTTTTTTAGCGGGCTGGAAAATCTCGTTCACATGTGTTGCGTTTGTCGCGTTTGTCACGCTCATCCCGCTCGTCATTTCCGGTAAGTGTTCCTTTTGGGACAATACTAACCATTGAAAGTGGGCAGTGCGGCAGTAAGTGGGCACATTAGCAGTGTACTGACGGAAGTATTCAGAATGAGACACAACCTTACATTCATTGCATTTATTAGTGTGCCTGAAAAGCACACTACTATTATTGCTCATACTTACTATTCTTACGTACGTTTTTCGGTCGACTACTCCTCCCGCAGTTTTGGTCGCACATACACAAAAAGGTACCAAGACGTGCGGCTCGGTGTGGACATCAGTGCTATGACTTTTCTAAGCATTTCGCCAAACAGTTTCCCGATAAATCGCCGAAAACCGGGCCAAAAAATGAATGGGTGTGTATTGGTAGAATGCTCAACTGTTTTCAACTGCCGTTTTCTGGACCTGGTCGCCTAGCAACCAAGGCCTGCAGCTCACAAGCTTGACTGTGAACAGGCATTACTCTTCCCTGTCGTTTTTCGGTCGACTACTCCTCCCGCAGTTTTGGACGCACATGCACAAAAAAGGTATCAAGATGTGTGGCTCAGCCGGGTCATCAGTGCTATGACTTTTCTAAGCGTTTCACCAAACAGTTTGCTGATAAATCACCAAAAACCAGGCCAAATGAATGGGTGTGTATTAGTAGAATGCTCGCAACTAGAGTGCGTGACATTATCACTAGAGTGTAGAGAGAGAAAAAATTGTTGAAAAATACATTTGTAAACTGCTCTCAGGGCCACAAATGTCACTCTACAGAAATAATTTATAGATAGAAAGATGTTCTAGTTTGTCCTGTTGTATAGTTAGGAGCTACAGTATGTTCTGTGTTGCTGTTTGGCATACCTTTATCTACACACGCTTTAACATTGAGTCTTTAGATAGATAGCAATGCTAAATTTGTTTAACTTTGTTATCTTGTGATTGATTAAACTACTTAAACTTTAAGATTGTTAATTATCTTGAATTTTTGATTAGAACATACTAATAATTCAAGATTAACTTTTGATTGCATGTTTGAAAATGCAATCCAATACAAACATACTGTATATTACAAGGGGAGTATCAGCCCTAAGAATTGGTCTTTAGTACAGTTATCCTACTTCAGCAAAGAGTCAGCTGTCCTTTACTTACCATTGAAGCCAACCTCATTTAAATGTGGGGTTGGCTGGGGAACTTTTTTCTCTGAGGATATCAGGAGAGCATTGTTCTATCAAGGACTGAAAGTTCAAGAACAAGGTTTAACAACTTTGCAAGGAGGGTACAGCAAATTGTTGTCTAAAATCTTTCTTTCGGGGAGAATATACTTGATGCAAATGGTTCTTCAAGGTTATCATCAGGCTCCCAAGTTTTATAAACTACTAATAACTTTTTTTTTCTTTGAAAATCACGCAGAAATTACTTTTACTTCTAATTATTTGAAGCACTTTAGATAATAATGTAATAAGTAGTGGCGGAAGAAGTACTGAGATCTTTTACTTGAATAAAAGCAATACCACTGCATTCAAAATTCTACTTCAATATAAGCAGAGAAGTATTATCAGCCAGCAAAAAGTGTTTAAACAAAAGGTGGAGCTACTTGAACTTAATTGTTTGAAGACCCAATTAAGCTATTAAGTAGTTTCTTTCCTTGTAAAAAAAAACAAAAAAGTTATCGCTTTCTTTTTGTAAAAACATGGTGTCCATGTTTCCCAATGTGTTGGCTACTACTGTTGGGTCACAGGTTAAAAACAACACAATTGTTTTTGCAAATGGAAAAATGTGGTTGTTTGCATATAGAGCGGGGCTGTGAGATTTGATCTGCATGTGGACTTGGAAGAATGGTTGTATGATGTCATTAGAGCTGTCCAGGAGAAGGAAGCGTGATTCAACCGATTCACAAGAAATGAAGCCTGTTCAGTGCTCTCAGAGCAGGCCAGTCTTGTATCAGGAGAGAGTCCAAAGAAAACTGGAGCACACCGACATAAGGCAGCAAAGTTTATTAAATGACTAACTTTTTGATGTCCGGTGCATCAAAATCAAAAAAGAAAATCTTCCAGCGGGGCATCTAATAGGGCACTTTTGCTGCATTTTGGTGAATGTATAAAAGTGCATAAGAAGTTTGCATGTCTGCACTGACTGATAATTTATTTTTCCCTACAGAAAGAGTTTGTGTAACTCTGAACTTCTTTACTTTGTTGCAGGTAAAGGGGCCATGGCAGAGGTATCGACTATTGTCAGTGTTGTCAAACAGTATCTGCAGAAACCAGATGAGTCATCTTAGAAAACATGTACGACACATTGTATGATGATGATTGTGCTTTGACCTTCAAGGCCCTACACACCCATGATAAACACTGTTGCTTCCACCTATTTTACGTGATATGTCCTCTTGTGGAGATTGCATGGATGATTACAGACCGGCGATGACTGGCATCTCCCTGACTCCCCTGTTAGTTTTGTTGCACCTGTGCAACATGCACCTTTACCCTTCTTATTACTACATGGACTAATGGATAGCTCAACCCAAGTGCCCAAGTGAAACCTCTGCAGCCTAATCCGTCAGAATAACATAATGACCTTTAGCTGTTACCAGCAGCTCTTAGAGTAAAATTTTAAACAGTTTGGTGCTTGTTTTCATATGCATCATCGATTTATCATGAAATTATACTGACATGATTGATGGTTTACTAGAGAGAGGATACCCTTCAGCTAATGTTGTCATTTAAGCCATTTAAGCCCAAAATCACATTTAAATATGGGATAGTATATTTCTGCTCACAAAGCGGCATTTCATTAGTGAAATGTCATCGAGCTTATGTGAGTACATTGAAAAATGCAACTCCTGTATTGACATTATGGCTGCGCCTCGCTTCCTTGTCTTTTTCCTCTAACGGAGATTGGCAAAGAAATGATGCATCACTGCCAGCATTGTTAAAAGAGTGATGGTTATTGGACAAACCTGTTTAATGATGTACTCTATTTGTCTTTACAAGAAAAAAAAAAGCATGGTTCTTCTGGATCCCTGTTACTGTTTATTTTGTGTTGGAAGCTGAGCAAACAATGTGGTTGTGGTTCTATGGAAAATGATATGTAAGGTATGGGCATGCTATTGTCTTTTGTCACATCACTGTATGAAGTAAGAACACAACCTTAATTTAATAACTTAATGGCGGGTCGCTGAAACAAAAGGTGATTCTCATTCCTGGGCTGTTCACGTTGACACACTTAAATTGCTATTAGGGAATTGGATGGATACTGTCAGTGTCCAAGGTATAAAGTGAAGGAAATCTGGATTAAAAAATAAGTTTTAAAGAGTTCGGTCTAGACCTGCTCTATTTGAAAAGTGTCCTGAGATAACTTCTGTTATGAATTGGCGCTATACAAATAAAATTGAATTGAATTGAATTGAACCATTTTTTTCTTAACAGCAAAATGCCTCCAAAAATATGGTTTTGTATTTTATTATGAGATTGTTTCATAAGCAGTAAGTGGCACAATTTTAATTTAAAACATTCTTTACTAGAACAGAATGTAAAGCAACACAGGTTCACTTTAACAAACTGGTCATTACACCACAAAAACAACATTCTTCTCATTTGAGTCTACCGGAGCTGTCATGGTTCCTGGGGGGTTAATTATGCAATATAAAGCTGCGGAAACTCTTTTCCCACAAGGCACTTTGACAGACTGGCTTTACTGCAGGACACATAACATAAACCTGTCAGCTGAACTATGGATGTCTCGAACTCAGTGACTATTGAGCACTAGTAGTGTCTTAAGAGCCTTTTACCGTGACTCTGAGCACCAAAGGTCGAAAGTGATGAAATCCATGGTTCACATGGTTAACGTGGTGTTCGACATGTTTATCTCTGTGAAAACCCTCCATCTCCTAACAAAATGAAATGCGCCAGTCTGGATTGTGTCGAGAAGACACACATGAGAGAATGTCAAACCAAACGACACAATGCTTTGTTTATATTACTGAGTGGAAACAGACAGTAACAAGTGCCTTGCTTGTAATAAACTGAAAGGAACTGAACCTTGTAGGTGGCAATCTTGGAGGTATGTGTCCTCTGCAGTAATATCATGTTGGAGAAATAGAACTATGCAACACTTTAGACTACCTGCTTTATAAGAGGTCAACTTACAAATACTCATTGTCATTCAGAAACAGGAAACTGTTGAAAATAACCTTATTGCAAAACAGATTCAGATTTACAAACACACAATCAAAATCAGCATTGCTGATTATTAGAATTCCTCTTACAGTACATATACCTTTTATTTTTAACAGCAGGCTTTAAAAAAAAACATATAAGTCTTCCTGATCGCTGGTAAATCATTAATTACATTTATTTGCCGTCAAACTGTTAACATTCACTTATTTTCGAAGCATTGAAATTTCTCTTCCCTGGGAGAGTGAACCCTTCTTTTTTTGTGTAGACATTTGTGCTGCTCGTGTTTGTTGTTTGCTATGCTCTCCATATACTTATGTTTTATCTTAGTTTGTCAGTGTTCTCATCAAACCGAGTTGGGGCGGAAGAAATTTGGTTTGCAAATAACTGGGGGCATTGATACTGTTGAGCTGTCGAGGTTGCAGCACATGGAGCCTTGTGAATGGCTCTCCAAACTAAACGTATCCTTCCCTGAGCCATAACTTGTCCTGCTGCTATTGGCTGCTGTGTGATTCTGTTAACGATGCCAGAGGAACATTACATCAGCCACACCGACAAGGGGAGTGTCATGGAGGCCTTGACAGCTCTGTGGAGTGTAGTGTGCAGCCTGCAGGTGCACCTAATGGGAATAAACGCAATGTTCTCACAACTACGGACAAATCATCAAAACATCAGATAGGCTGTAGTCGGATGCAATGTGAAATAATCAATGGTATGCTTTCAAGACTAAACATGCACTACTTTTCTCTACTGCCACTTCAGTAACTTGTTTATTAAATGAGGTTTACTTACAAGAACATAATGTACAGTCACTAGAAAATATTATTGCACCCTCCCCTCTGTCATTGTTTTGGGATGTACAAAAACATGCAGGAAAAATGTGACTTACAAAAAAAGGCTAATGTAACTAAACATAAAATATGATAAAGCACCACAGGAGTCCATGAGAGACTGATCCTGCAGCATACCATCATATTTCTAATCTCAGCTTAAAAGAATTGTTAAAATGTTCTTAAATGCATCACTACTACTGCTGCTGCTGCTACCTTCAGATATTAGTCACTTTATTTAGTCTCATTGATATCAGGAGACCTGCAAACAACCACACGACCAGCATACAAGACCAACACAAAAACAAAACAGAACGAATGCAGTCAATAACAGGAGGTGAATGAAACAACAGATCGTAATGCTTTGAAGTTTCGGGGGGGAGTGAAAGAATTTACATTGGGGTTCATTCCTTCTCAAAGGTTCATTATACCTAAACTAGTTCTGCCAAGGTTAGTATGTGCATATGGGACTTGGAATGTATACGGTACTTACAAGGTTTAAATGAGAGAGGAGACGTGAGGTAGTTTACCTGCTTTAAGAGTAGAAATGTGACTGAAACTGTACATATACTGAACATGCAGCTCCAGCTTTTGATTTATAGTTTAATGCAATTAACTGGACACAACTGTAATTTAATACAAAGAGGAACTTATTAAGGAAGTTATTTTTATTTACCAGAATATACATAGAACCTGCCAGATTTAAATACAAGTTTCAGTTTAACCATGAAGTGTGAAGTGAATTTCAGTCAAACCTGCAGTGACCTGAGCAGCGAACGATAAAAAAATGACGTCCACATCACACAGTGCATACTTTGTATAGTGTGTATAGTCTATGTATGGAAATGGGACAACACATATGCATTACACCAATATTATATGTATATATATCTTATTTTCTGTGTTAATATGTGTGACATTCAGGTGCATACATGTGTGCAACCTGTGCAGTCTCTAGGCTCAACATGTAGTTTCTGGCCTTTGGGAATGTTCAGCGGTGTTTCATCAGAAACTACATCCTGAGAGATCACCTGCTCTACTCCCTGTGTCACCACAACTCACCTTATTGACTCTCAGACGTTTAAAAGTGGTAAACACCTTGTGACTCAGGAGGGTGTGACATATTGTACTTTATGTACGTATTGTTCTGTATTTACAGTAAACTATCAAATAAAAGTCCTGTGAAACGATATTGGTGTAATTGCTGCTTGTGCAAAAGGACAATCTTAGATCCACAAGGAACAATTAACTGTCTAACTATTTTCTGATACTCTTTCCTAACTAATGATATATTTATTACTCTCTTTTTTTAAGCATTACCATAACATTGTAACTTCTTTCTATCCAGGATTTGAACCCTTTGAGTAGAAAATGTTCCCCATGTTCATAGCCCCAAGGCTAAGACAAACCCATCTTCCAGAAAATGTGTTTAGTTTAAAAATAGTTAATGTTATCTGCTGTGTGCTACATATTATTGTGTATTCATGCATATTAGTTATTTAACATGTTTCACAGAGGGAAATAACCTTTAACAATACAACACTTCCAACTTTGTTGTCAGGAAATAAGAGGTAGCAGATAATAAGAAAATCTGTATCATCATATTTGCCTTGCCAATCACGAAACTGGTTTCTAACAAGAGAGTACTATATATATATGTGCGTGTGTGTGTGTTTAATGCATAAATTTCACCTTGTATGTTTGAAGATCTCTGTTGCCATATGTCACACTGTTAGCCCCTTGATGCTTAATGTTGGTTAGCCTTAAGCTGTAATGCCATGGTAACTGGAAATGGGGGAGAGGAGAAATCGCTCCGTGGGGAAAAGTACCTGCCTTCTCTCCTCAGTCAACCCCCCCGACGAGCGTCTCTTTATCTGCGAGGCTGCAGGGACTGATGAAAGCCACCAACTTGTCTAGACTAAACTGTGGCATTCCCACTGGACACACAAATTAGACTCCTACTCAGGTGAAGAGGGACTGGTATGATGCAAGTGCAGCAAGAAATGAACTCATCCAGAGGGTTACTCAAGCAAGTGGAAGAATTTAGGTTTGATTGCCTATTATAATAGCTCACCGTGATCATGTTATTAAAGCATCAGGCACGCTGCTAAAATCAAACATTATTACTTTACTGCTACTAGTAGACGAGAAGCGAGTTAAAACCCTGTTAGACTGAGGTAATGGCTGACCTGATTGTAACTTTGGTCAACTAGTCAACCATTAACTACATTAGGATGAGGTCAACGCATGATGATTTTGTGCTGAAGCCTTCCTTCACAGCAGGATTTTGTCCATACAAGCTTTATTATGCTCTTATTTGTTTTTATTCAATCCCTCATCCTTAACTTTGTTGCTCTGCAATTCATTCAATTTGTTTTTCGCTACTGAGGAGGCAAGGTGCCCCCACTGACTGTCTGGATTCTGCACTATGGGACTTTGAGTGTAGCCACTGTGTTTTTCAAAGGAAACCCTCTAATATGTTACCACCAGAATATCATTACATTCATTTCCTTGTTGCAGATATCATTACGGAAGTGTACTCCAAATCCTTGAGTCCTTCAGGTGCCTTCATCGTGAGAGTGAAGCCATGCAGTGTATAAATTATATAGTTCACTTTGTTGTACAGTGGGGGAACTTAATCCAGGTGAGGGGTTCACAAACTAGTTTCTACTGGTATAAGCAACAAATAACATCAAAAACATGATGAACTGAACTGATGTCTTTTAACTTCAATGGAGTCAAATAATATTGATTCCTTATTTTTGGTGACCGCCCCTCCTGAAGGTTTGGGATCAAAACTGGTTTGGGAATAACAGAGAAAAGGACATAAAAAAAAATCAGGCTGAGGAAATAAATGAGACACACACACTATCTCTCTCTCACACACACACGCACTCTCACACTCACACACTATGAATGAAAAAGTAAAAACATGACCCTAAGTTCACTTAAGGTGCACAGCAGCAGGCTGGTCAGTAGGATACAGTCAATAAAGGTGAGAATGTGGCCAGCGGGGGGGGAGAGAGAAACATTACATGTGTAGAAAACTCGCCGTGGATAGACACAGGGTGTGACTCCGCCTATTGATCAAAGACCATCCTCCTCCCTTTTGTCTTTTCTTCAGTTTGTTAACTTCTCTAAAAGCCGCGTGGACCTCGGGCGAGTCGCTCCAACCCCTTTTTTTTTTGGCAGACCTTCAGCACATTTAGTGGGATTTTTTTTTGGCACATCTGATCTGACCGAGACCACTAAACAAGCAGAGGAGCGACTTTACCCCCCAACACACTTTTATTTTTCTTAGAAGTTGTGTTTCATGGAGCACTTGTGGAAATCATTTATTGCCACCACAGCAGCGAGGTAAGACAACATATTTACTGGCTCAATCCTTCCAGATCTCCAATTAAACGGCGGATTATGAGACCGAAACAAACAAACTTGGCCAAACGCGCACGGGTGAATCTTTTTTACCAAATGACATGGCAGATTGTGAAACTATGTCATGTAGGCAAAGCACTGCACCTAGGGGTGTTTTAAACCGTGTGTTTTTTCGCCCACAGTGTGGTTTTTACTTTTACCGTGGTTTGCCTCGCTTTCGCAGCCTGTATGGAAATCACTCGCACTGTGATCGAGCTATTGCGCGTACATGATTTTCATATTATTTGCGTCTTGTTGATATGAGCAGGGTGTTTATGCAGACAGGACAACAAGCGCATGTCTTTTCGCGTAATCCTAAGCAAATATATATATATATATATATATATATATATAGATATAGATATAGATATAGGCTATGCGCTTTCATGGGCTCAAACTTCAGCCCTCTTGCGAAAAATGCGAAGACACTTTTTTCGCAGTTTTAAGTTCCGTTTTTATGTGTGAACGTGAGTCGTTGTTTTTGAGAGCGCACACAAAACCACATTTTTTTCTTCTTCTTGTGTCATGTGAACTATCTCTGACCCGACAGGCTCGTAAGTTCTCTCTTAGATAAATGATTTATAACTTTCGGACACACTGGAATAAAGTGAATATTTGCCAACTCACTCTTTTTTTCCACGTGGTTTGAGGCTCAGCCTGTCCGTTTGGACGGTTTGCCTTCGGAAGTCACACTCTCCATCACCCTTACCCTACAGGTCTGGGAGTACGGACACATAGATATACATACATACATACATACACACACACACACACACACACACACACACGTCAGAGTGTGCGGCTTTTCTGTCCGTTGAAAACTGCTCTGCGCAGTTTCCTTCATGCAGTTAAACAAACCACACTGCTCCTCGCTATATGCAGATAAGCCATGGCTCTTCTGAAAGGTGTCAACAGGATGAGCTGATAACATCTGATCTGTTAGGTTCTGGATTCAGAGATATTTGTGGCCCCTTGTGGGGTCTCATCACAGCCCACAGATAGCTCACAGATAATATGATCAGCATTTTCTTTTCTTTTAAAAAAAATAAAGTTTGTTTGATGTATGTTCAGTGGATTTTATGCAGAAGTTTCAACATATATTAGCAGATGTTATGCTCTGAATTTGGCTACCAGGGATGTTTTTAACTTCTGTTAGTTTTAAAGCACTGTTCATTTGTCTTTTTCTTGCACCAAGAGTGCTTTGTGCATAAGAAGTGCCATTTGAAGGCCCGCTGGAAAAGCCAGAATTAGGATTTGAGCATATATAAATAGTATCATTAAATGGGTAAATGTAGGCTAGGCTGGGGTTTTCACTGGTGTTGAAGTTTCCATAAGGTGTGCATGGATAATGTATTTTTTTGTATAAAATTAGATGTCAAAATAATCTGTTGATGGACAGAAAATTAATAAGAAACTTTTTTGATAATTGATCAATTTTCCAAGTGAAATGTCAGATGTCCATTGGTTCCAGCTCTCAGTCGTTGCTGCTTTTCTTATCTTATGTGATAATAAACTGAACATCTCGATTTTATAGTCAGACAAAAAAATATATTTAAAGTGAAACTATGATGGGCATGTGTGATGCTATTTTGATAGAAATGTAAATTTAATTTTGTTTATAGTGCATATTCCCATAAGTCTGTATACACTCGAATGAAGTGACAACTATTTTGACAACTGATTCATCATTACAGTAACCTTTTCAAGCATTCACAGGTTCCAGTTGCTCAAATTTGAGGATTTGCTGTTCTTGTTCCTTTTTAACTGAATATTTTGCAGACTTTGGATGGTTGGTTGGAGAAATCAAGACATTTGAAGAAATCACCTTGTGTTCTGGAAAATTATAAGGGGCATTCTTCACTATTTCTTTTAGATGAAACAATTTGTCAAATAACAGACTAAAGAGCTAGCAGTTTAATTGAAAAGGAAAATAATACTTAGTTGCAGCCCTATATTGGAGAAGTGTATTAAAAGGGGAACTATAGTATGATTGAGGATTTGTGATAATAAAATGCAGAAAAGAAACCAGTGTAGGGTTCAGGACATAAGCTCAAGATAAAAAGTGCTTTTGAGATCTTGTGATAAGTTTGATAAAAGAGAGACTGAATCTCTTACGTGACATTGATGACACATTCTGACATTTTATTTGAGTCGTACTAAGACCATAATGCACCAAATACAGTATTACAGTAATTGCCAGGCAGCTCAGGTGGATTGTCTGCAGAACACAGAGTTGGAGGTTCGATCCCCGCCTCCTCCTGTCCATGTGTTGGGCAAGACACTGAGTCGGGGGATGTTCCCCAGCCACTGGGACACAAGCCATAAATTCCAAGCTTGAATAAATGCGTCAGGAAGGGAATCCGGCATTTAAAAAAAAGCCAGTGCCAAATCAAATATGTGAATAATCAAATGTTGGGCAGGGCATGGTTTGCAGAGATGGAAACAACTGATCTGCTGTGGTGACCCCTGCGGGTAGCAGCTGAAAGAAGTACTAAACAAAACAATTTCACAGGGATTCAGTCTTATTGTAATTTTCAAATATTCAGACATGGCCTTGAAGTGAAGACTGCTTTCAATCACAAGTGGATATTAAATCACCATGCTGCACTATGAGACCTGGTTTATTTTCTTGCAACATGAGGCACCACCTCACTGGGTGTCTGTAGGAAATTGTTCTCATTCTTGGCCTTCACGAATATCATCTGCATTAGTATTAAATTATGAATCATCCTCACACATTCCTAAGATTGTAATTTTCTTGCAACTTGTGGCATTTCACTTCCACTAATGGGCCTCAGCTGATGATTGTGTATATGACATACATGTGATGAACCACAAGATTCATGAAGTTGAGCAAATGCCTCTAGCCAATTGTTGTCTAAAGTTGACTCCTTTTTTATTTGTGCAAAATGTTTATTTTGTGTCCTGTCTGAGGTCGGAGCTTCTTATTAAAAGGATGGAACTAATCTTGCATAGATATTTAATAATGAATGCCAGTTGCAATGGCAGTTGTATTTATATAGCACATGTAAACTCAATGTGCTTTGCGTTGAGGGACAAATCACAAAAATATAGGCATAAATATGAGAAAATAAGCAACATCAACAACAAAAATAGGAATGTTAGGGTGAGTAAAACGCAGAAAGTGAATTAATCAAGCATACACCAAACATACCACACAGCAATGAACCCCCCCCCCAAAATCAAACAGAAACCACTGCCCAATGACTAATTGTTGTTTTTATGTTTTCAGGTCTGGAGCCCAGTCATTGCATCATCATAACAAAGTTACTACATGATGAGCAGCCAGTCGATGCAGACCCTCATTGACCCAGTGTTTCGGAACAAGATGCCATTACACGATGGGACCATAGCATCCACAGGACTGTCAAAACCACAAAATATGTCAGATTTCCTGGGTAAGCAGACGCTGCAGTACAGTGGGGCCTACTTTACTTATGACCCCAGAGGAAAGGAGGGGGCACGACTCACTCCTCCTTGGAGCAACTCAAAAACCTCTCTGCTGGATGGCAGAAGTCCTGTGAGTCACCTATCTGGCATGGAGGGACAAAACCACATAATCTACAGGCAAGACAGCAACTCTTCAGAAGAAGGACATTCTCATTCTTCCTCTCTGCATCACGCCCCAGTCAAACAGGGCTTCACATTGTATACTAAAAGTCCTATGAGCAGCGGTCCTACAGCTGCTACATCAGTGGCTGTTAGAAAACAAAAGACTGGAGGTGACAATTCATCTCCCCCATCTGAAAACTCGGTTTACTTAGCAATTCCTAAGCCAGTTTATGGACACAACCCCTGCTGTAATGAACTGGGTTGTGTGATAGGACAGCGATACAGTGTGGAACATGGCTCTCCGAGGATACAAAACACTGTATATGAGCATGATTGGATGCAATCTGATGCTCACTACACTGAAAGATCGCCCATCCAGAGGAAAGCACAAGACTCACTGCTGCAACAGAGAAGTTTACAGTTTGAGCCCAGGGCAGAAACACTGAAGAGAATACCTGTAGATACATACAGCCCAGGTAGGGCAAGGACTTTTCCTGCTATGATTGAGCCAAACTACAGCAGTTACCCCTGCACCCTGACTCGTTCAATGTTTGGCTCTTTAAGTGAGCAGAGCCAGCATTTACAGACTTCCCCCAGAGGCTACCCTAGCTTATACCCCTCCCATCCTACATATGAGCATATGACCTCAGAGGTTTATCAAGAACATTCTCCCATGTCCAAATATGGCCATCTAACACAGCACCCAATGTTTTACTACCCCCAGGCAAATGTGGAGGTAGAAAACGGGACACACTGCAAAGATATTGGCAGTAAGCAGAGAGAAGATGTCCCTGTTATTCTTAAACACACAATCTCCAACCCCCGGGAGCATTACATACTGCCTCAGTCGCTTCATGGTGAAATTCCTTTGCCAAGCACCGAAACGTTGCCAAATCATTCCTTTATGCAGGGTTTTGACTATCCATATTATGCTGTTCCTAGATTTCATTTAAATGCAACCCAAATCAGATCCCCCCTAAAAAGGCAACATGCATCGCCTAGCTTGCATGCAAATCGCATAAATGCTTCCCCATCCAGCCAATACATGGATCACCCCATGGCCTCTGCAACCAACCTACACAAGGACAAACCCAAAGCCAGGCTGCACTTGGAACAATCGCACGCAAACTCGCCATTCCTACGTATGGATCAAACCAGTCCTACCAGACGTATGAGCCAACTTGGTGTCTCACCGTCCAGCATACAAATTAACAGGTTTTTTCATCCACTCACTAGCCTGCACATAGAGCGACCCATCCCCCCACCAACTGGCTTGAACATGGACAGACTCCAGGACTATTCCTCCTGTGAAGCCCAGGTTAGATGCCCGAAACAGCCAAAAGGCCTTCCGGTCTCCCCAGCGGCATGGCTTTCCCGGTCACCCCATTGCAACTCAGATCAAATTCACACAGCTATACCCAATAGTCCAAATGTCAGAAAAATAATTTATTCTCCTGCTGTTGCACCAGGAAATAAACACAATGGCCACGTGTCCAGTTCAGGCAGCACTGTTCTTAAAGGGTGCCTAAAGAGAAGTTTTTCTCACTCATCTTCACCCATCAAAATAAAAGAAGAGGGAAGGGATTTATGTGAAGTAGAACTCGTTAAGAAACGACAAAAGGTGGAAATGGAGAATGAACAAGAAGGAAATAAAACGGACTCTCCCCCTATGCCAGTTATTGACAATGTCTTCAGTCTGGCACCTTACCAAGCATACCTGCAGGCCTCTGGAGTGTTATTTCCAGGCAGACTACCTCAGAGACTTGTCCAGTTGTCTGAGCACCGTGAAGTCAAACACAAGCCAAACATCAAAGAGAAAAGGCCAGATGGAGATGAACAGCAGCCTGTTGTCCATCTAGTTTCAGAAGAAATTTGTGCAAATACCCCAACAAGGAAGCCTGTTGTAGAAATCTTTGAACCGAAAATGATTAAAGTGGAAAAAGTAAATACATCAGACACAGACAACTCTGTAGAGACCCCTGTCAGTCAAATGAACTTCAGCAAAGTACCAAACAAAAAAGAGCCGGAAGTGACCGATTCGTCCAACAGTGGACACCTTTTGGTGATAAAGAAATGTGAACCTGATGAACTTGAAAGTAAACCCTCATTATCAGATAAAAATGAGACTTCGGATGAGACCAAACCCAGTGACGTGACTGCACAGATGAACTCATCTCCTCGGGGTGATACACCAGCATTGCACGAACAGGTAGTCACCCTTCAACCCAAATCCATCACCCCACCTCAACCACCTGAGCGCAAACTAAATTTCAAAAACATTCCTCCTCAGTGTCTGAAACTTTCCACCTACAAACTAGTTCTCTGTAATATGAAGCATTCTGTCCAGGGTCCACCCCCAGAGAAACCACCTGTACAGCCAATAACTGAATATATACCAAATCCAGAGCTCCAAATGCCAGTCCGCAAGCATTTCTTTGAGTTGCACCATTCCTTCTACAATCTAGTATCCAAATCTGTGTTGGCCTCGTCAGAGCAGGAGCTCAGAACCTGGTTGTCTCAGTTGGAGATGACTGAACCAACTTCTCCTTCAACCAAAGTCCAGAAAGTTTCCTCTTTGTTCGGGGTGAAAGCCAGAGAGATGTGGCTCAATGAGGAGATAAAGTCGGCACTCCATAAGCTCCTCGAGAGGTTAAGAGAGTACACTGCCCAGGAACGCTGCCCATTTCCACATGTCATGCGGGCAGGTGCAGTGTTCCTCCCCATGCTGGTAGTGAAGGAGCTGTTGTTTCCGACGGTCCAGGGTCACTTCATCGACCAGGTCCTGCAGGAGCACAGAGTGGAGCTGCGGCCCACCACGCTGTCCGAAGAAAAGATCCTCATTCAGCTTCATAAACGAGCCTGTTCCTCCAGGCTCAGGAGACTAATGTCCCTCAAACACCTGCCCAACATCTACGCTGACGTGGTCAACCTTTTGTATTACACCTGTGTCTGCAAACATCTGGGTGAGTGCGTGCTCACTTCAGATTTACTGACTTACAAACATCTTATTTTAGTCCTTTTAAAACATTTCCGTCTGTTTTCCAAATTAATGTTGCTCTGGGATGGTATTATAGTATTTTGTGTCAAATTATGGGTGCTGCAGAGAGCAACAGTTAATTAGCCCTCATGGGGAAATGATGGACACAACATTAGACCAACACTGAAGTAAAGAGAGGCTCATGAAGGAGACAGGAAATGAATGAATAATGGATGTTTATCTCAGAGATGCATACATGAACTGGATTCCTTTTTAAAATATTACACAGGGAATCTTTCCAGTATCTTTAGCAGTTCTTCAGCACAAAGACCGCAATTCATTTTGTCAGTTAAGTAGGACTGGTTAGGCAGCCATATAAAGATTCAACTTTTCACCTCAGTCATAAGTGAAAAGCATGAACATGCTTGTAAAAGATAAGGTTTGGGTGTGATTTACTCTCACTGTTATTTAAGATAGATCGCTGGACTCACTGAAATAATTCACATGATATATTTAGCTGTATTTCGCTACCATGTACTTACTGAATATCTTTGTTGCTTGATAAATGCAACAGTACTTCCTGCATTTTCTTGCAGATTTCTGGAAATCCCCACTGGGTAGATGGAGCGATTAAATGATTGTCCTGGATCTTTATAAAGCATCATATTTTGACTGTTGGCTGTATCATGGTTTTCCCTCACAGTCTTTTAGTAATCATATTTTTTGCATTATTGGCCCTTTTTTGTAAAGAACAAATCATAATAATAAACAATAAATATTCAATATAAAATCCATTTATTTTTTACAGAATCAACCTCACCTGATGTCCAAAAGAGAGTCCAGGTATATTTATTTTTTATGTTGTCCCTCAATCTCACTACTCTTTGCTTTTCTGATCAGAACCAGCTTACTCTCAGTAGCTAATCATAAGAAGTTGCATGATTGCATTATACTTGTTATGGGTGGGTGGAGGAAAGGGTGCTAAGCTGGGCTATTTGTGTAAAAATGTAGCTCTCCTTCATGATTCTGTTTGATAGTGAACCTTTAAAGATTGTGATGCATGCTGTTGGATATAGAGGGAGGATATGACAGCTTGCAGCACAGAGGAGGCTTCACTGTGGCACAAATTCATGGTTTCAAAAGATTGTGATCATCTTTTTGTTATTGTCAACAAATCATGAAAAGACCAAAACAAACAGTGTTTCTCCGTCTCTCAATACTTTCTGTGGCTGTCAGCCCAAGCCCATGTGTTCCTACTGAAGGCTGAATCTCCACAAACGTATAGTTTCATTTTTATTCAAGGGTTGAGCAATTTCCTAAAACAGTTGGGCACTGTAGTTGTGAGTCAAATCGGAATAAATAGTGCATTTGTTTTGACTATTTTCAGTTCACTATTTTTGGCTTTAGAACAGTGTATGTGGGGTTTACTTAGTGCCCGGGTTCATTATAAATAAACAATCAGTGCAGTGGCATGGCTCATTATGTGTTTAAATTTGGACAACATTGAAGGTCTATGGTAGAGAGGTATAAGCTTTGGCTATTGCTGCACAGGCAATACTTGTTAGAAGGATTACATTTTAGTCTTTTCATGTTATTGGTTGACGGTAACAAATATAGAATATCATCAGACTTGTCCTTTTGAATCACCTTTTTTTTAACTTTGTGTCCTTCAACAGCTATTATTTTATTTGGCACATGTATTTGCTAACTGAATTGGGCTTAATCGAATTTCCGTTCACTGCTGACATTATTAACAGTTCACATGGTTTGAGAGCACTTGACTTTGGTATCTCAACATTTCCCTTGTTTTACTCTTGCCCAACTGCTGTTTTATCCCTGACTGATAGCCTGATCTCTAGTAGCAGCTGACTTTTTTCCCAGCCTTCGTGTTTACTCCCACAGCCTTCTATTCTAGCTTTGCTGAAAGGGTGTTTCATGGTGGAGGATCATGCTGCCCGATCACCATGTCTGCTGATATTATTAGAATAGTTTCACATTGTTCCTGTGTGCTCAATAAGCACTGTGGGAGCGTTTGATTTGTCAACTCATATGGAAGTGTTGAACTTTGTGGTTGCTAGCTTGCTTTTTAGGAATTACCTGTTGGCAAATAAAGTTTAAAATTGATTTTATTTGTATTTGAGTCAAAAATCATAAACCACAACTTGCATCTAAGGCTTCCCTGATCACTAAATAAATTCTACAAACTCACAGACTTGTCGGCAACTTCATTTTCATTTATCTGGCTTTTTTTTTTCTATTTACGTTGACCTCTCCTAATTACTATATTCTCTGTGTTGCAGGATTAGATATGGATGACTCTGCTAGCAGAGAAAAAGATGAGGGTTGCAAGACTCCTGTATTTTATGACATCACTGCCTCACCAGCCTCACCTGCAGAGTCACACCCACCGAGTCATCCGACGGACCAGGAAGAGGTCAGATCTAATTTGAACAGGAACAGAACAAAAAGCAGAGTGAAGAGCAGTTCAAGGCGTATGTTTCTTGACAGTAGTTTGTCAGATAAGGAAGAGGCAGATTACACTGTAAGCAGAGGTGTGCCGAATGCATTTAGTAATGTAAATTGGAGTGGCCATCAGTCTGAGGGAACTGAGAATAGAGGAAGTGACCGTACGGATGCAGAGCAGGATTCTTCACCCGCAGCTTCTGAGAATTCATGGACATGTCCTTTAACCTTGGATGAGCTTACTCCCTCTCCCAGTGACCCAGAAACAGAGGAATCCTCCAGTCCGCAGCCTGCTAGTCAAACTTCAGGACCTGCAAAATCTCTGGTTAGATCCAAAAATTGTTCAGGTATGATTCTTAAACTGAGAAGGATGTTCAGCGAGGGTCTAAACAGAAAAAAGGCCCACTACCAAGCAATCTTGGACTCCGGGACATTTGCTGATCCTTCCCTCTCGCAGACTGATGATGGGAAAAGAGAAGTGACCAATGAGATGGAGCTTCACAGGAGGACGGCCAAAGTAACCCACAGGTGGCAGAGAACAGGAAGCTTCTCTCACGACTTAAGACCCCTTAGCAGCTCTTCTAAAAGAAAACGCAGGTCACTCTTTAAGATCAAGTACTGTCCCTACTTGTCCGCCTGCCACAGTGCTGAGCGCAGGAGTCGCTGGGTCCTGCGTTCGGCTGTTCACAGGGCTCAGAGGGCCATGAGGTTTTACTACCCGGACCTGGTGGGGAAGAGGATTCGCCATCTGTACGAAGAAGATGACAAATCAGAAGTGTGGTACAGAGGGGAAGTGCTGTGTATCCATGAGGCCAACGCCAACCCTCTAAAGACTATATTTGAGGTCAGGTATGACAGCGAGCCAGAGTGGAAGTACTACCTGGAGCTGCTGATAGACTATAAAAAAGGCTGGCTCAAGATTGAAGACTAGTTTCCCCACACAAATGTGCCAATTTTGGTTTTTGGTCACATCACTGAGTGCAATTACAGTTTATCAGTTCCTCCTACTGTTTTCTTGTACTTGTTAACAGGCTGATGAGCCTCAAATATCTGTCTCGTCTTCCTCAGGAATGTAGCCAGACTGGATCTTTTTTTGTAAGTTCAGGTAAACATTCCTTGTCACTTGAAAGCTACAGGGCGCATTTCTTTAGGGACAGTGTGCAGCGCCCTGTAGTGTACAGTTTTAAGCTCTTATCATCTTTCACACTATGCTATAAGTGGCGTTTCTGCTTTACTCACAAGTTAGATTGTGGTAAAGGTGAAAAACTCCACGACCATGCTTAATTTTTTTTTTTTACAAATATGCAAAAAGTCCCTTCGGTTTGTCCAACTTTTAATTGCAATTAACTATGAAGTTAGGCATTTTTTTTCTACTTATGTCAGAATTATCCACTTTTCTGGTTTAAAAAAGAAAAAAAAAGTTCATTCTGAGTGAAGTTAGTGACTGGTAGATGTTTTTACTTTTCTTTTTTGATAGTAATAAATAACAAACTGGAAAATGACATGGACATATTTAACTGTCAAACAGTGCCAGCCACATGTATATAGTTTTACAGAGTGCCAGTTGTGTATGTCTTTATAAAGTGATTTTTACCCTGATGATTGTGGTTGGTGTGTGTTTTATTGTGTAACTGAAGCTGGACAGGCATTCATGTAGTTCTGTACTAAGCTGCTCAAGAGGTCTTTTAACGACAGTTTTACATGTCCCCATGTCAGTGTTTTTAATCCCTGTAACCTTAAGACTTTAACCTCAAATTGTACCATTGCCATAGACCTCTGCAGATTGAATTGTTAAAGCATTATTCACTCATCTTAAATACATGTTTGTAATGATTCCATGTTTTATGCCACACTGTTGAAATGTATTTTCTCCCAAAATACAAGATTTTTGACTCATACATTATGTAGTGTTTTTTTTTTTTTACTTGCATACCTGACTTTCATTTGCACAAACTGAAATTTCACATATTGCCACATCTTTATCATTGATGGATAGATTACCAGACATTTCTCAATGCACCAAAATGATGCAATCTCTTACCAATGAGCAGTTCATTTAGTAAACATTGCCTTTGGAAGATAACAGAACCTAAAACACTTCAAATCAGATTTAGAGTCTTTGTCCCCATCTTGTGGCAGAATCTCTATTTGCAGGTTCCCTTTTTAACTGTCCTTAGCGTTAAGTTGTGAAGAGTTTAGCTTGTTCAAGTGACTTCCACAGTACACAGCAGTAGTCTTCTTAAGGACTCGAGTGTGGCGAAATGTTTTTTGTAATTTTGTTGCTGCCACAACAAAAACAGTATCCATTATCAAACAAGCACCAATGCCAGAACGATGTTTGCAACATTTTGCACTTTAATATTTTCTCCAAAACAGACAACTAATTTTTCCCACATTTTTACACTAATAGGAAATAAAACACCTTTGATAGCATAAAGAAAAGATATGTAGAAAAGTATTAAAAGTTTTTGGATGTCTTAATTTAATCTAAGTAGCTGCTTTTGTTTTGCGTAATGTTCATGAACTACTAGCAGACACAATGAAAACAGTGAGCCCTGGAGAGTATATAAGCCTAATGATCACAGCTATAGCTGGTGTGTTACCTGCAAGACAACTTAGGGAAAATAGCCCATCTTTTGTTATTATCCATTCAACTTGTGTCATTGGTTCGTCACTTGAGAGACAAAATTATTTCAAAAGGGACATCATACAAACAACCATCTGATCTTTATCATACAATCTGCAAGTAAAAGTGGTTCATAAAAGCTAACATTTTCGCCTAAAAATCAAAATTATTCAAAGTTACCAAATGAATTCCACGTAATTCTGGAAGACAACTCTGCAAAGGTCTGTAGTATATGACATCGTAAAATACATAGCGCAGAAATGCATCATGGATGTTTGGTAAATTCATATGATTGAGACCAAACCTACTCTAATGACTCACACAGTACTCCCAAAAATGAGATTTCTCATGACATTTATTCAAATAAACAATACAGTTTATAATTTGCTAAGATAAAATAATAAGTTTGAACACATAAGAAGCATGTGGGAGAGAATTCCCCAAAGATCTGAAACTGGATTAAAGGATGTGTTTTAATGAAAGCTGACACTTTGGTGTCAACTTCTGACTTGCATCAGTGCCTGTATATTCATGTCCCCTCCAGTCAATCTTGTGAAGACTGCCATATTGCAGAGACATGAACGAGCATTTACAAGCAGAGAGCTTGACGACCGGAGCAACCATCACATTGAACAATGCAAAACCTGGAGGGGGCACTGACATTTCCATGTCGAATCCTCAACCCATGTGCGAAAAGTACAGTCTTTAATGCAAAAGCATAACAGCGTTATAAAACAGTCCTACAACCTTTAGAAGTTTGCCCTATATTCCTCATCTGCCTAAGGATCACGTCCATCTGTGTAGCTTGGTTTAAAGCTAAATGTTCAGTCTCACTGCAAGGTAATAGATCTCTTTTAAGAGGCATGGCTGCTATCAGCCCTATGCCTCCCAAGTATGTCCTGCAAGAGTGATGCAAATGCCTGACCCTGTTTGACAGTGATCCAGCCAAATTAGCAACACTACAAAGCTGTGCTGTCAGTACATTCTATTACCCTCATTCAATCCCCAAGGTGCAAGCTGAGCTTTAAGAGGGCTATCTCAAGCCACGTCGGGAAGAGAGAAAAAAAGAAAAAAGAGTGAATGTCACTCAGTTTGGCTCTTGCAAATAATTAGTAATGTTCTTAAATGTTAAACACCTCTAAAAACAACTAAGAGGGTACGGCAAAAGGTTAGAATAGAGGGACACAGGGCCGGAGCATTCTACCTCACCTTTGAACTGTAAAACCTTTTCTGCTCTTGGTTATCTGACTCGGCTGTGCACTTTCACTGAGTCCTGTATCTGATCACTTGGCAACTAAGAGAAATTATTTCTATCAGTCCCCATTTAGAGTTACTGTTAAGGTGTAACTTGTGCACTGCTCTGAAGAGACTGGGGATGATAGGGCAAATGCCTTATTGCCAAAGACCTCCCAAACATTATGGAAGGAGTAAACAGACTCAACCTACATGGCAAAAGTACACCCCTTTTGAATATTGGTAAAGAATAAATATTTCAAAATTTCAAAATTATGCAAACACGTGCCACTCTTGCTCTTTAACTTCCATGCATATGGACTATTTACAAATTGAAAAATACAGATTTGCTATTTTGTTCTTTTGATGTTTTTTCTTCTTTTCCCCCCTGAAATGTCTTTGCCCCTTTTGCAATCAGCCTATCAACATTCAGCCACCCAGACAAGGATCTCACCACATATTGCAGACATGGCCAGGACAATTAAAGCTGTGTTGAAAACATTTTCACACTAATGGGAAAACAAAAGTCAAAATCAAAACAGAAAAGATTCACAAGCAAAAAACATAGGAAAATAAGATAGCTCAGGGGAGGTGTTACAATACAAGCCAAAAGGATGTATTTGTTTAAGATGGTTTTTCTGCTTTCTCAAGACTCCACTCTGTTGCTAACAATACTGTAGTACACTTTCTTTTTATTACTCTACCTTTTATTTAAATATAATTTACTTTGAAGGTTTTGTTAAACAAATCCAGGAAAAATGATGCAAAAGTGGTTGGTTTGCCAAAGGAGAGGCGGCAGAAGGCCCGTGCTGCCCTGTTAAATTGCATCAGCGCTCTAGTTTGTCAAGATACTCAAGAGTCCGTTGCATTGGGATGTGTCCTCAATCCTCAATGTACTCCCACAGGTCCTTCTCATAGCCTTCATGCACGTGCTGTAGCAGCACTCTTCGCCTGCTCTCACAGTATCTGGAAAGACAAAAAGTTTTTCAGACCAAGAACACAAAGACGTTAACAGTGGCAGGCAGTAATTACAATTCTTCCTTCACTGACCTGTACTTATCTTGTACTTTCTGCTTGATGTCCTGCAAGGAATCCTGGGAGATATCCCGCTCTAGGTAGCCAGAGAGCACCTCAGTGGCATTTTCCAGGTCTGCCTGGTTGTTCTGATGAAGCAAAACAAAAAGAAAAGATCAATACTATTCTATGCCACAGCGCAAATTCAAAGACAGAGATGCAATGTCCCCTAAACTTTGGAGCGCCCTGCGTAAGGCCCAGCTCAAACTACAGTTAGGTCGGGCCGATTTCCCCATTTGCCCCTCCCAAAAATCAGGTCACTCATTTGGCTTTGTCAGTGAACTAGTTCTGCTGCCAGAGAGAGGAACCATGAATGGAAATGTGGCCAGAATTTCATGGGATAATCTGTCTTCCAAGAAAAATCCTAACTGCACAGACAAAGAGAAGCATTAAGAGCAAGTCATACCAGTGTGAATGAAAGACGACGTGCATGAATGAATGAGTGTGTGTCAGTGGGTTTAAGGTGGTGCAGAGCTTCCACTTGCAAGATAATCTAATATTATGTACCAAAATATTTCCTATTTCTAATCTTCATATTTTGTGTGATAGAATTCGGTTTCTCCAGTAACGCGTTGATTTCACCAAATGCATATCTTTACTTTGCATCCACATAGAAGAGAGACGGCGAGAGAGCTGCAAACTGCGAAGAGCTGTTACTACACGCCTCCCCTGCTGATTTCGAGAGATTCTTGTTTTAACTTAGTTTTAACAGCTAGAATCTATAGGGTTTGCCCAATGTGCTCCAGGCACTGTAGGTTTTTAATGTGTTCCACAATTGTTTCTGTCCGCCTGACCTGATAGAACAGCACACTCCCTGTGTACAGGGACCTCCTGATAAAAGAGGTGTTGAAAGTAATGTGTGTTAGTTGGCTGAATCATTACACACACACACACACACACACACACACACACACACACACACACACACACACACACACACACACACACACACACACACACACACACACACACACACACACACACACACACACACACACACACACACACACACACACACACTTTTAGACTGTTTTTTTGTTGACGTTATTGTGATATCATTATTTTAATATTTTGTACCACATAGAGAAAGTCTAATAACCCTTCTTAGAAAGTTATGTTTTCACATCTTTGTCCACTAGCGAGCAGTGTTGGGAGTAACACATCACTGTAATTTTGGCAGTAATCAAATATAATTATGTATTTACTACTGTAGTAAAGCTTGGTTAATGTTTACATCCGTGTGGGTGTTCTATCAAATCATCCCGTCTTTTAACCAGGACAGTAAGTGTAGCTTGTAGGTAGTAATGCTAGTCGTTGCTGCCCTAAATTTGCCTTTTCCACAGCAACACTAAAATAATAGCCGACAGCCGTTTACATTAATAAGAGAACTGAAGAAGACATTTAAAAAGTACAAGTTACTTTAGTAATGAAAGTAACTAATTACTTTTACATACAGTGGTCAATTTGTTTTAAGAGAAGTAACTAGTAACTTTAACTAATTACCATTTTTCAGTAACTTGGCCACTAATGCTAACAGAGAATCAGGAGTTATGACTGAATGGCTGAATTTTCCCTAATAAGAGCAGGCAACGTGACTTTGGTGATAGAAATCTAGTTCATGGGTTTTCTCAAACAATAACATTTTTTAAAAATGTAGCGCTTATTACATTGGAGCCAACACTCACCTCAAAAATAATGGACTGGTTGTTCTTCTTGAGGTAGAAGGCAAAGACGTAAGTGAACATGAGCGTGGAGCGGCACTGGCAAAGCACATCCACAGCCTTCTTCAGAAACTGCACCTCAATCCAGGACATGTTGTGCTGCTGCATCTCCTCCATCTTCTGCTTGACCTGAGCATAGAGCTTGTGCTCAAAGCGCAGGCTCTGCATGTGGTTCATGTAGCGGTTGCAGTAGAACAGGTACCTCTGCAAGGCGGCCCTGGAGCGCTGCACACACAGCATGGAT